GTCGAGCCGTTCAGTGGCTGGACGAAGTAGATACGAGTTCGAAGGGGAATAGGAACAGAGAGTGCCGAAGAAGTAAAGAATACGAGTGGGAATTGAGACTCGGACTGAACTCGAGTTTGAGAGGGAAACTGGGGCTGAATTCAATGCAGACTAGCTACGACAGGATGCTGTATTTATACGTTTTCGAGACGAGGTATGAGTAAGAGAAATTACGAGTCAAAACGAACGCGTGTACATGAGGTTTGCAGTGAGTGTTAGCGATAAGGAGAGACCGTGAAAAGAAGACAAAAGCATCTAGGCACAGATCTAGCTGCGCGTACGGGTCGGAAGTCCAAGCGAGGTGTCGAGGCCGGAGGGACAATGAGAGACAAAGCGTATGACGCAGATGGTCGTCGATATCGATCAGGGTTGAGTCGAAGCGGGCGGGTCGAAGTGTGGCGAAAGGTGTCGAAGCGGTCGAGATGTGGCGCAGGTGGTCAGGGGCCGTCTAGGCGCGCGCACAGCGCGTCCCTTACACCGCTCACTGTTCGGTCTCGAGCATATGGCGGTTCTCGCTAAGACATGAAGGAGCTCTCAAACTTAGTCAAATAGCCGTCGCAACTCATCCCGCTATAAAAGATGGATTCGCCAGTATTGAAGTATTCACCGCATTAGAGATCCGTGTCAGGCTGATCAAGTGCTCAGCAAATCGTTTCCAATGCCTAAAATAGATCCGTGCTTTTAGTATACTAGCAGTACAGCTCCCTTGATGGATCTTTCCAAGTCTCTCTTCCGCCCACCAACGTCCCATCTCACCCCATAGACTCACTGCGTTCGGCCTAGGATGGTTCAATTACCGCTACTTCTTTCTGTTGCCACAGTCACTCTATTTAATACAGCACCATCGTTAGCTCAAGGCAACATCACTTGCGTTAGCAATTATACGGATTGGTACTCGAGCATCGTCGGCGAGTCACCATGTATGTTCTGCTTTTTCGTCATTGTGGGATCATAACGACTTACGACTATGACCCTCAGGTATGACATACTACCGTCTTAGATCGATCTGCAACCCTATGTGTACGATTCTTTGTCTCTCTCATCCTTACGTTTCGCCAATGAGAGTAATTTAGATTCGGTTCCGAGTTTCAGCCCCAATCCACCTGGAGACCACTGTGATGATCAAGTAGGTACGCAGACTCTTAGAAATGACATGCCGTATCACAATTCCCATTCCTCTCCTAGCCGACTGCTGCTGCAACTCCGTTTCGTGGGCGTTGAGTATGCTTTGCATGAAGTAAGGCATTACTCGATTGTAGACGGCAAGAACTTATGTGTCCATATTTTCAGCTGCCAACAAGACGTTCCAGGCGTGGGATTTTCCGGGCAACATGGGATAGACGCGCCAAACGATGGCTCGTACCAGTCGTACCTTGTTGACATCAGCCAAAACAACAACACATGTGCACCAAACATGAACCAAAGTTTGCCAGTCAATGTCCAGGATGCAACATGTAACCGAGGTATGAAACTCATGGACATTCTGTACGAAGAGTACTGGACTGCAGGCACATGGTACTAGTGAGTTAAACACCAAATGCATGTGGGGCGCTAGCCACAACACCATCATTTTTGTAGTGTTTGGACAGAGGAAACGGCAACGACAGAGAACAACACAGCCGGCTCGGACAGGAATGCGATGTTTAACTCACAGGGATGCTCGACAGCCACCAGCAGCCCTTCGATACCAATATCAACTGAATCCAGCGCTGAATCCTCTACTCCTTCAAGCTCTTCAACAAAATCTGGAGCTAGCAATGCCACTCCAGGAACAACTACTGGCACTGTAGTAGGTGGCGTCGTCGGTGGCGTAGCAGGACTGGCAATATTAGCGGGGATATGGGCTGTCATATGGAAGAAACGTGTAAGGGGTGCTGCGTTCAGAGATGCATATCTTGCGACTATGAATGGTGCTGGTAAATTCTCCTTCTATCGCTGTACCTTATTGCGGATCACGCTCATGACTTCCCAGATGGAAGGCCGCCCATGGCTATGAGGCAGGCGAATGGTTATCCCGCAGCTGAATTGGAGAATGAAGGTAGTGCCTTCAACGGCTCCGGGAATAGCATAGGTCCACATGCAGCCACAAGTCCGTCGCTCCCAAGTGAGTTCAACTTTTTTCCACATATGACGGGTGGAGAGTAGACAGGTTATTATCCAGTGGGTCAGTCTCAAGCTTTGCTGCAACGGGGACAGACTCCGCGACCACCTCCTTCATACAATACAGAATGGATCAGACGTGCTGCGGATTCTCATGTGCAGGATTTCCCAGAAAGTGTCCGGGAATCTTCCACTGTCATGTAGATGTCGTTTCTCATAGCGCTAGTGCGTCTGGCAACTATTTTAGATGTGAACGACCAGCACTATACTATACTACGAAGGCAATTATAGCGCTCTCTAGTAACACTTAAAGCTTAACTAGTCAATCTTAACATCCTATGTGGACAATGCAATTACGCTCTCTCCGAAATAAGGCCCTACAAAAAGCAAAGAGCCAATCCACTTAGCACCTCGAGCAGAGCTCAACTTGGCAATGAGAAGTAGCCCAGTCTTTGAGAAGTATCGACAAAAAATCTTGATATCGATACAGAGTATTGGTTATAGCCACGAGTTTCCATCGTTCGTCGAATGGAGGAAGCGATGGGTAGTAAACACAAATCATATAAACACAATCAGTATTATCAAGTATATAGATACACATGTACGCATGACATTGTACGCGAATGTGTACGTAGTAAGTAATGATGACCATGTACAAGAGGAGGAACAGCGACAAAGCGTGTGGCAAGAACAAACAATGTACAAGGGTGAAATAATGCACGAGGCGTAACAAGATGTTCAAGACGATGAGCACCATCTATGTATCCCAACGCGACAACGACGGCAACAAAAGCCAGAGCGGCGATGAGGTGAGATTGATGTGCGGGGATTAAAACAGATCCGACCCAGGGAACAGCTGGCTCTCTTCCCCGTCCCCATCTCCACCACCATGATGATCGTCCGAATCAACACTATACGGCGACACACTCCCGCCCACCCTGCTCCCGCCCACGCCCACGCCCACGCCCAACCCGCTCGCACCAAACGCACTCTTCGAAGGGCTCAGCACACGCACGTCCTCTGGCCCGCCGGCATAATCGGCGGGCTCGTGCTCGAACGGGTCGATGTCCGCGTCGTGCACGCTGTGAGGCGGTGGCGTGGGCGATGCGCGTCTTGGGGGCGCAGAAGAGGCAGCAGCGCGGGGAGGGGAAAAGGTGGTGTGGAGAGCGGAGGAGAGGCCGGGTGAAAGGGGGGTGGTGCGGCCGAGCTCGGCGTCGCGGGCCGACTGGGGGTGGGTGTAGTGTTGCTGATGTTGCTGATGTTGCTGCTGCTGCTGCTTTGTGGGCGATGTAAGAGTTGAAGACGGCTGCTGTTGCTGCTGTTGAGGTGGAGGTTCCTGGTGCTGACGTTGGTTCGCGTCGGTGCGTGGTTGAAGCTCATACTCGAACTGGAATGGGAAATGTTAATCAACGTAAGAGGGAGGGTGAAAGAGGACGATGCATACTGCAGCGAACACCACGTCCCTCCGTCTCTCTCCGACATCCTTATCGATACAGTAGCATAGATAGAGCGCGTCCGCCCTGGAAGTCTATATATCAGCTATCTTTCCATACAGGCAAACTAAGGATTTGGCATATGACTCACGTATCCTTGACCAATCCTACACAAAACAGACCTACAAGGGCCGTCACACCCGCAGCTAATACCGCCGCTCCCAGCGCCGAATCGGGTGCACCGAGCGTGTGGGCAACAAACAGGTACGTCCCCAGCGCGAACGGAAAAGTGAGCGTCAACGGCGAGTAAGTGAGCATGGTAAGTGCCGCTATCGTCCCATCGTCAGCACCACCGATTTCCTACACAAGGGTGAAAATACACTCACGTTCCTTCTTAAACTTCCTCCTCCATCGCCCACCCTCCGCCTCCTCCGCGTGCGTCGTAAGTGCCCTCGCCCGCCTCGCACTCGGAAAGAACGGGTCTCCCGTGAGCCCGGTGTACACCAGCGCGTACTTGCTCAGCGACGTTGTCACGCTTTCAAGGTACCCTGTCGCCATAACGCACCCGCTCGCAACGGGCGCGAGGACCGGACGCCACGCAAGTGGGAAGTAGCTGGGTAGGACGCGCAGGCCGAGCGTCAGCAGACCCAACATGCGGATACCGGTCAGGATGAGCGCGGAAAGACAGATCGAGCCGAGGGAGGGAGAGGTTGAGCGGAGAAGAGCTGCGTGGATCGTGTAGGTGTCCATCGGGAGGGGCAGGGGAACGTCCGGGCTAGCAAATGACAAACATGACGAGCGCTTCTTGTTAGCGCCCAAACACCAAAATTTTTATCAACGGGACCCGGGAACAGGACTCACTCGGCGAAGTACCAAGCCCCGATCACACCCGCACACGTCGTCCTCAGAATCCCTCTCGCGACACCCCACGTCCAAAGCCACACCACCGCAGCGCCGACGATCGCCCAGTCCGCCCATGTCTTCACGTGGAACTCAACGCCCGACTTGGCCGAGGAGGTATACCCCACGAGCAAGAGCCGGAAGATGAGCGTGAGGAACGGGATGGACGCGACGAGCGTCGAGAGCAGGATCGCAGGGGAGAGCGCAAGTAGAAATGGATTGTCCATGAGCAGTTGCGTGGTGAGATCCAGCACGGCGGACGTGGTGTGAATCTCGCGTGGGAGGTCGACGAGGCGCCGGGCGGTGAGCGCGCAGAGGGCGAGCGGGACGAGGGAGAAGAGGCGGAGGCTAAAAGTGTTGAGATTAGGGATGACAGTCCATATAGTCAGTGTGTGAAGGAACGCACCCTACAGTCTCGCCCCACGTCGGCTCGGTATCGCCATCCCACATGAAGCTCCCGACGAACGCCCAAATTGCCGAGACGAACAGCGTCACAGGTATAAACATCGACGTGACCATCATCACCGGGCGCACAAACAGTCTCAGCAGGAACACATGCGCATACGCGACCAGGGCGCTGAGGAACGTAAGTATGGTGAGCATCGGCACGGTGTGCAGCAGCGTCGTATACGGCAGGCCCGGGATGCGTTGATTGGGCTTGTTGGTGAGGAAGAGAATGAGGATGGAAAAGAAGACGCAAACGGCGACGCCAGTACACCACGCGAGCGTCCACGGGTGGTCATGCAGCCGTCGCCGGGCGCGGTGAGCTAGCCGCGGGTCGGGGAGGGAGAAGACGTCGAGCGGGCGGGAAGTGCCGTCACGCGGGAGGAGAGATCGGGTGAGCGAGAGCGAGATAGGCTCTGGAATGCGTGCAGGAGGCGGGGGTGGGGGTGTTGGCTGGGGACGGACTGTCTTGCTGAGCGGCTGTGGTCGGTGAGACGGCTGTGGTCGGTGAGACGACTGCGCTGGTTGCTGTAGAATGTCGGGTGGTGGGGAACGGGAGGATGACGAAGATATTGACGGGGGCGGGGATGGGGAGAGGGCACGTCGTGGTGGGGAGTCGTTCTGGTGAGCCAGCCAACCTCCTGGATAGTCGTCCGCCTCTGACTGGGCATAGTTGGAGGCTATCAAGGGTATCGACTGGGCAGCATGGCGGGATGCCCCTGGCGGCAGGTCTTCCTCGTCCAGCCGTAGATACGGGTCCTCGTCTGCCCCCACATCATGTGATTGACTCCTAATCCCCCTTCCCTCCCGTGTTGAGTGTCTTGTGGCTCCGCTAGAACGGAGGTGTGGGTCGTCGAGGTCGTCGAGGGCCTCGTCTCGATCGTTTCCGGCGCGCGAGCCTGCGTCGGTGGTAAACGAGAAGAACAGAGGCTGAGAGGAGGACAGACTGGCTTGACCAGCTTGATGCTGGGTGATAAACTGAGATGCGTACTGGGCGAAAGACTTTGCCATCGTTCAAGGCGTCGTCGAGCCCCCCTCCCCGAGCAGTTCAGTAAAATGTCGAGAGTGAGTTCACCGCCCAATGTCCCAGTCCAGGGGCATACGCATACCTACAGGTGGGAAACACCTTCTATATTAGGCAAGCTGGGCGGAAGCGTTATCAAGCACTTCGGCGCGTCACTTTGACTCTTTCCATCCTTGTTCGTGTCTCTCGATTCTTCGGCTCCTTCACGACTCACAAGTCTGAAAACGGTTCCTTTGGGGCGATGAAAGTATATTTAATGCGCATGCCCCTTATTAGAGCTTGAGGTCGACGACACAGTTCAAGCTATACCACAATCGCGATCCTCTGCCCCATCCACTGCCAGTAGATTAGGCACACCTACTAGAGACGTCGATATCGCGCTGTCGGCCCCACCAACACTCATCGACATCAATCAGCTTTAGCAGGAAAAATATGGACATATACAGACAAGTGACGAATGGATCGCTAAACGCACTCAGCTAACTTTGGTAGCCATCCGCGACTTGACAGTGAGTCGCGTTCTCAACAGTAACAAATCAAAATTGCCTAATCTCTTCGCCGAAACGGATATGGCTGTGAGGAATCTCATCAAGCAGCTGTGGCGTTTTGACGCCGTCCACCGTTACCCTTACCGGCGCATCCCTCGTCGTGATCAATCTCGACACCTCCGTGATTCAGATGACGTCTTTGTTGGATGTAGCGCGCGGCGCATGCAGCATGAAGCTCGAGTTTGAAGAAAGGTACAGCTGCAGAATAAGCTAAGAAATAGTGGAAAAGGCTATGACGTGTAGACCTGGACAACTGCTTGTCGACATCTACACGGCCACCTTTCCTCGCACCATGTTATCCGTAGTGCTAGTTTTACTACTCACAGCTAGCCTGGGCACAAACGATGTCGCCACGCTATTCATCGCAGGTTCATACGAAATTGTATTAGACCAGTACTGTCACTTTGCTGCGGTCAACCATATTACAATTTATGAATACGATCGAACGATATCTTCTGAGGCCCTGTCACCAAACATTCCCCCTTGCCTATCATGTAGCGCTACTATGCAGACTATACTTTTCAAACCAGTGAAATGCTCTTTAATCCGAACGAATAACACCAACAGCCTGCTCCAACCTGTTTATCACCGAATCGGACTCCGGAAACCAAGATCCCGCAAGAATGTCAAGGCGAGTCCCTGCCTGACCCCGCTGCTCCAAGACCTCCACCAGCCGTTCCGCGTGACGAAAAGGTTGTTGTAGCTCAGATAGGCTGTTTATACCAAGAGACGCGAGCTCAGGTATCGGAGTGGCCCGTTTTTCTGTGGGCATGAGGGCCTCGATCAGCTCTGAAAGGGATTCCTCTTCCACATGCACGTCGAGAACCCGAAGCCCAGGCAGAGCGACAAAGAGGTCGTTCCAAGGAATTCCGTGCCTAAAATCCCTGTGCTGCGTGATGTAGAGCATTCTGATGTTGACGAAAGGCGTTTTGCTGCGAAATGAGCTAAATGGGTTTATGTGGGTGGATTCGTCGCCGCTAAAGAAGAACGCGTTAAGGTGTTGCCCACAAGCCACGTCTGGGCACCTCCCAAGGTTAACCTCGGTTCTGAAATAAGGATTTTCTATGTAGATGCTGAACGGGTTCTTCAGCTCGATAGTGATGCTAATAGCGATGAATTCCGGCTCTTCGTTAGCTGCTGTGCGCTTGAAGGAGAGAAATGCAGGGGAGAGAAGGGGCAGTACGGCGATCTGTCGGAGTCCCAGGTCCGACACCCTGACAACGACGTCAATGTGAGCATCCTGTGGAATGGAGATGCGAGAGAAGATCTGGGCGTATGCAGCGAAGCTGGAATTATATAGGGTGAAATGGTGGATTCTAGGGAGGTGGATGATGGCATCGGCGTCGAGGTTCCAGGAAGACGGTGGTACCACGTTCTCCATGTTGTCACATAATTCAAAGAGGCGAATCCTCTCTAGGGCTGGCGAGCCTCGAAGAATGTCCCAGAGTTCATCTGCTGCGGGAGAGAAGTTGGACATGTTGTCGAGGTCTAAGTTTGTCAGCCCACGAAAGACTGGCGAGTTCCATGGGAGCGTGCAGCGGCTGAGACTCAGGCTGTGTAATTCAGGGGCATGATGATCGAAAAGATTGACTGGGATCGGGAATGGAGCTAGGTCGAGAGTATCTTGAGGTGAGGACAAGCAAAAATGCTTAACGCATGACGATCCGGTGCCAAGTGCCTCAAAGATAGAGTCCATACTTTGTTGGGCACGGACAAAAAGCTTCCATAGAGGTAGAGTAAGAGACAGTCCACGAGTGCGATAAAGCTGCCCGAGAAGGTGCTCCGCTATTTCCAGTTTTCTCTCGTCGAGGTCCGAATCATCGCGGAGATGAACGGAAACAGTCAGTGTTGCTCCTTTCGCCCGTTCGTACATTAGCCAAAACAGTTCCGTCGAGGAGCGTTCTTCTTCGTCATAGACAAGTGTTGACCAGAGATGCGGAAACGCTAGAGCCACCTCGCGCCAGTGACGACAGACATGCGTGACGGTTACGATGTCGCGCTTCTGTCCAGTCCACGCATCCGTGAGGTGAGCAAATATTCTGGCTAGTACCTCCGGGAGAAGGCGACAGACTAGAGAGTACGAGTTTATACGGTATTTGAGAGTTCGTGAAAATGCTTCATCGTGTGGATTCTGAATCATATATTGCGTATCAGAGGAGAAAGTCTGGAGCTCGTCCTCGCTCGGCAGTGCATGAGTCATCAAACCGCCCATGACTGCGACCTGTCACACAAAAGCGGGCGAAGGTGAGTCCTGTCAAATATCATCGCGAGAGAGTAATAGTTCCCATACTTTTGGGTCTCGTTGCTATGAAAGACCTTACTGGCGATCCAACGAGGATGCTACGTCCGGCTTTAACCTGGAAAGAGATAGGGGCTCGAGGTGGTTGTAAGTAGTTGGTGCGTCATCAGCGTGGTTAGGGCCCTACCTGAGGCTGGCGATATTAGATCGTTTTCTCGAGAACCTTGTGAGACCGATGTCCAGTGAACGGAGTGAGACTTGACTGAGTCGTGACGGGGAAGGGCAAGCTGCGACTGCGCCATACGGAGGTCCCCCCTAACACATTCGGTTTACTGCCAAACCAGGTTAAAGACCTCCGAAAGATTACCTCATTTCGAGCGCATCGGCGCACCTCCTTTGACACCTCCAAAGTGAACTCTCGGGGGATTTCGGCCCGGAGCCCAAACCCCTGAGGGCGTTCGACAATGTCGACGTTGAATTCTGCCCCTTCGGCAGGCATCAGACCTAGGGTCAGCGTGGATGCCGACGTATTATACCTCTTGGACAACACGTACTGAATCCCGGTCGTCGAATATCCCTTGGAAGTAGCCATGCGTAGTGTAACACTACTATATACATGCCCAACGGCAAGTCGGTTACCAGAAAATCGTTATCTAATCAGAACGTTCAACAAAACCAACGACCTGGTCCAACTTCGTCAGCGCCGAATCAGACACCACATACCAAGACCCCTTAAGGCTGTCAAGACGCGCCCCTGCCTGCGCACGCTGCTCCAAGACCTCCGCTAGCCGTTCCGCATGATGATGAGGTTGGCTAATCTCAGAACGGCTCCATAGTCCAAGTAGCTTGAGCAATGGTACTGGTGCGCCTCGTTCCTCGGTAGGTACAAGCGCCTCGATCAGGCCTGAAAAATGCTCCTCCTCCACACGTACATTAATAGCCCGAAGTTGAGGGAGAGCAGTGAATATGTCATGCCAAGGAGCGGTGTGCAGAAACGCCTTATCCTGTGTTATCACGAGCTCTTCCACGTTGGTGAAAGGCGTGCCTGTGCGGAAGGAGCTATAGGGGTTGACGGATGCGGACCTGTCGGCGATCCTGAAGAAAGCGAAGAGACGTTTCCCAGTCCCGCAAGTCGCGGGCAGGTACATCTCGGAGCCATCCTCAATGGGTACGTAGACTTCATCCACGTAAATATGCGGGGAGTTATTCAGGGAAAGCTCGACACTGGTTTTGATGTTCTTTAACTCGCCTCCAGCTGGCGCGTGCCGGTATGAGAAAAATGCGGGCGAAAGAAGGGGGAGTGTAGCAAGCTGCTGGAGTCCGCGGTCAGATACTCTAGCAAAAACAAAGATAGAGGCATCTTCGGGGATGGAGATGTGGGAGAAGAACTGGGCATACGCTGCAAAGCTAGGATTTGAAACACCCATATGACGGATCCTAGGGAGGTGGATGATGGCTTCGGCTTCCAGGTTCCAGGAAGGCGGCGGCTCCACGTCTTCCATGCTTGCCAACACTTCAGAGAGGTCAAGGTGTTCAAGGGCTGGCGAGCCTCGCAGGATGTTCCAGAGCTCGTCTGCTGTGGGAGAGAAATTCGGCATACCGCTAAGGTAAAGGTGTGTCAATCCTCGGAAGATGGGCGAGTCCCAGCGAATTATACACCCGTAGAGACTCAAGCTGTATAGTTCTGGCGCATGGTTCATAAACAATTCTGGGAGCTGGATCGGGGTCGGGTTGAGTGCGTCGTAATATGAGGTCAGTTTGAGATGTTTGAGAGAGGATGATCCAGAAACAAGGGGGTCAACGACGATAGGAAGCCGGCCGTTGAGGAGAAGTTTCCATAGAGGTAGGCTCAAAGACAGTTCACGAATACGGTAAAGCTGACCTAGAAAGTGCTGCATAATCTCCAGCTTTTCGTCAGCAAGATCTGAATCACTTCCGAGCTTGATAGAAACATCGAGCTTCGCTTCTTTGGCCCGCTCGTACATCAGCCAAAACTGCTCCATATTGGGGTGTTCTTCGTCATAGCTTACTGATGCCCAGAGATTCGGAAACGCTAGAGCCACCTCGCGCCAACGACGGCAGACGTGAGTGATAGTCACGATGGCGCGCTCCCGTCCATTCGACGACTCGGATTCTGCGACGTACGCAAAGATCTCGGCGAGCATCTCCGGGAGAAGGCGGCAGACTAGGCAGTACGAGTTTACGCGGTACCTGAGAGCCCGGAGGAACTCTTCATCCTGTGGATCCTGAAGTACATGTCGCAAGTCGTAGCTGAAGGATTGAAGTTCGACCTCGTTCAGCTTTAGTATATGTGCCATCTTTTCGCTAGTGATCGTGACCTGTAACAGAAAGGCGAAGATGGTGATCCCTGTGAATACCCCTATGTAAAGGCGAAGAAAGATAGGGGCTTGACCATTAGCAGTGCAGCGTGTGTGATTGCATGGTGAAGGTCAAACCTACAGCTAAGGAGTATCTACTCGAGATTCCTGTGGGGATGCTGCGGTGGTGAACGGAGTGAGACAGCTTGACTGGATCGTGACGGGAAAGAGCAAGCTGTCCTCCACCCAGTGACGGTTCCGAGACAAGATGACGCTTTGCGTCACGTGTCGGTAGGCGGTCGGTACCGGCGCGTTTATCATCAGCCACGACAGTCCAATCTACGTCCTCTTCATTCACCTCTTCGACGCGCTTATCCTTTGCAAACCCACTACTCGAACACATACAACATGGCTTCAGCTGCAGTTGAGACACCCCAGGTCCGCCCGATGAGCTACCGCGGCAGGCGGGGCGCCAGGGGTGGCCGCGGGGGCGGACAGGGCCGTCAGAACACCGGCGCTCGGGCAGCGGGCAAAGACAGCGAGATCAAGGTCGGGAGCGAAAATGGAAAGAAAATGGATCACGGAGAAGAACAACAGAAAGGAGAGATGGCAGAGGGAACAGCTGGTGAGGAGGCAGGAGCGGAAGACGACGGGGCGATCTGCTGGATATGCGCGGAACCAGTCAAGTATTACTCCGTGTCGGCCTGCAACCACAGGACGTGCCATGTCTGTGCGCTTCGTCTCAGGGCCCTGTACAAGAAACTGGACTGTACGTTCTGTAAGGTACGTTGTTGGATTTTCTTGTCCTGACCATTTCAATCTGATGTCCGTTCGTTGCAGGAACCTCAATCTACCGTCATATTCACCACTTCCGCCGACACCCCTTTTGCCGAATACACACCTGAGATGATCTCTCACAAGGATACGAAGTTGTCCATCAGCTTTGAGACCGCAGAGATGATGGAAGAGACCCTTATCCTGCTTCGCTTCAACTGTCCCGTCACCGAGTGCGACTATACCGCGACCGGCTGGGGTGACCTCAAGCTCCACACTCGCGGTGTTCATGGGAAGGTGATCTGGTATGCAACCTCATCCTTCGTCAGTGTCTTATTGGCAGTATTTGACCTGAGCTACGCATACGTCGCAAACACAGCGACCTCTGTATCCGACATAAGAAAGTCTTCGCGCATGAGCACACGCTCTATCCTCCGAGCATCCTGCCACTGCATCTTCCGTCGATGCCACATCGCTCGAACAGGAAACACGACATCTCACAGGAGAAGATCGAGGGCGGTGTGCACCCGATGTGTCAGTTTTGCCGCGAATGCTTCTTCAGCGATGACGAGCTGTTCTCGCACATGCGAGAGAAACACGAGGAATGCTTTGTTTGCAGACGGAACGAGGTTATATTTCAGTAGTACGTCCCTCCTGTATCGAGCGTGTTGCAGGGTGCTAATCGGTATTGGCGATGTAGCTTCCAGAACTACGAGGCTCTTGTGCGTTACTTTATCCTTTCCAAATCGACTCTGAAGGGCCCTTGCTGACGCGAATCGATAGGAGCAACACTTTAATCAAGCGCACCACCCATGTACAAACGCGCGATGTCAAGCCCAAAAGTTCGTCGTCTTTGGTTCGACAATGGACCTCCAAGCGCATATGGTCGAGGAGCACGGCGGTGAGATGACTGCTCGTGACAAGCGCGAGGCTTTGCGAATCCAAGCCGAGTTTGAATTTCAGGATGGCGGTGGGGGTGGGGGTGGAGGCGGCGGTAGACGAAGAAGAGGGCGAGGTGGGAATGGAGCCGAGGATTCAGCGCAGGATCAGACGCAACAGCAAGCTCCTCCACGTCGGAGAAGAGAATTTGGTGGTCGCCTTACGACGGATGATGGAGGATCGGGGCTTGCTCCCCAACCTGCTTTTGCCAGGCCCAACGGACTGCCAGTGACGCCAGGTCTGGAGGAATCGGATCCCGTTGCCGCCGAGTACGCCCCCCTTCACTTTACTCCTCTCCATACCCGCTAAATTCCCCATCCCCAGGCGTGACTCAGCTCTAGCAGCACGCATCGCCGGCCTCGCGCCTAACCCCACGCATGCGGTTGCCGCCCTCCGCCTCTCCTTGCGCGCCTTCCGTGCGGGCGAGTCCTCGGCGCGCGACCTCATCAGCACTGCGTGGAACGTGCTCGACCGACACCTCGACCACACCGCCTCTGCCGTGAACGCCCTGGTCGATGCGCTGGGCGGTGACGAGGAGGAAGAGAAGAAAGCCGCGTTGCTCGAGGCGTGGAACGGGTTCAAGCTCGAGCAGCGCGCGCAGTTTCCTGATCTTGTTCCGCGCGAGATCGGTGGTGGCTACGCCGGGATCGCGAGTGGGAGGGTTATCAATGCGAAGCACGCCACGCAGGCGGGTAGGCGAGGCGCAGGAGGAGCGAGGCAGGGACAGGTGTGGGACCGTGTTGCGGCTGCTGCGTCGTCCTCGAGCGCTGGACCGCCCACGGCGTTCCCCGCGCTGCCCGGGCCCAGTCGACCCTCGCCAGTGCCGACGCCCAGGCCGCCCGCGGCGTCTGCATTCCCAGCCCTTGGCGGAGGCTCCTCCGGTGGATCCGGAGGGCGCCCTTCAGGCGCCCGAAACACACCATGGGCCTCGTCCGCATCTGCTTCACCAGCGCCCTCTGCCCAAGCTGGCTTCCGAGCACCTTCAGCGGTGCCTACACCCGTTTCTGTGCCCGGACCGGGTGCGTCCGCAGGGGGCAAGAAGGGCAAAGGCGGCGGACCGCCGGCGCTGTCGAATGCAGCGTTCCCGGGATTGCCGAGCAACAGCACGGGACAGCGCGCGAAGCCGTCTGTGCGCGGGAACACATCGCTGAAGAAGATTCTAGGGGAGAGCGCGCCTGCTGGGAATGTATGGGGCGGTGGGAGTGGAAGCAACGGGCCGGGAGATGGAGCGGGGAGCTGGGCGGTACCGCCGGCTGCTGGTGGAGATGGGGAGGCTCAAGGAGGGGGAGGGGGAGGGAAGGGGAAGAAGAGCAAGGGTAAGCAGAAGCAGACGCTATTTACGCTTGGTGCGTTCCCTTCGTGAATGAAGATGTGAGTTACATGCTATGGTGAGTCGTATAATATCCAAGGTAGACCCAAACTGACCGTACGCTCAGTGCCATAGATTGGAGAGAGAAGGCTAAACATCATGCGCAATTCATAGACGGTCCTTATCTACATGCTTGAAATCTCAAACATTCTTGCAGCGTCCATGCAGGCGCCTAAACCCGTGTAAGCAGACCCAAATAACCGCCCAAGGCGTTTGCCTCGACGAAACAGAGTGGAACCTGCTCTTTCAGATCAAAAGGAGCTGGTTGAGGCCGAGTGCTTAGATTCTATATGACAGGTACGATGTCGAAGAAAGCTCTCCCATGACGACCGTTCCCCTTTCTAGATGTGACATAACGGCAGCTCCGTATTTCCTTGGCCCGACAGCAATACTATCATAGGTGTCAGCTGCGTCCACTCCGGAGGACGTCAACCTAGAAGGTATTTTGTCACGTCTAGAGCCCGCGGCCTCTCAATGCGGCCGTAACTCTTCTGTGCATCCACCACATACGCTTGGCAGAGACAGCATCGATGCATACTGTATTCACGCGGTATGCACACTTCTTCTCGCGAGTACGCGTACCCGCGGATGCGCACGTCACATTAAAAATCGACTGTACGCGGGATATGCAAACTAGTTTGTCCACCAAGCTTGCCTGGTTTCTACCTTCATTCTTCGCCGCCCTCTGCTCTGATGACCCCCCTTTGTTCACCCTAGGCATGATTCTAGATCCAGAGGTTTTTATCACTATAACGCGGATGAAGATTCAATACGCCACTCGCCGATGCGACGGCCGTCACCTTAACGGTACTTTTCGCCACAACCTCAGCCACGCTCGTAATGCTGTTCACGCCATTTTCAGCTCGTGCAGCTGCATGCCGCTTGTGTCCACCAATGGCCTCCAAATTCGTACACATAGACACCAAGACGAATTCTATTTTCAAGGAATGCCGTAGAGTCGTATGTTCCCCGTTACTCGTGTCGACTGGACGTGTCGCGCGATATTGAACGTTTGGTTCCGTCGGTCACGGTGCTTGTTTTCTCACGTTTACGATTCTTGAGGAAACTTGTACCAAACTTAATGCTACACTTGCGCATATAGTACTGGATGCACGTCAAGTGACGAGAACGCAGAAAACCCTCACAGAGGCCTATAACTGGTTTAACATACCTGAAATGAGTCGATGTGGCCTTGATTATTTCAGGTACGAACTCTATGTTCAGATACTGGTTGTAGGAACCCATCCTTGCACCACGTTAATATATAAAAACCTTCAGCTTTGAGGAAAGCATTGAGGGAAGAGTAAGGCCGACGGCTTTACTTATACGTCAATTCCATTTTCTAAATCACTATCTATAGCTCTGGGGCCCCCGTATATCCTCCTACCACACGAGATGAACCTCGGTCATCCACCGCTCCAGGGAAAGTGCGTGGGTCATTTGGGTCCTATAATTTATTCAGCATGGAGAAAAAATCAAGCAAAGGCTCGGATGGTATCTTGACTCACATAGCGTATGTTCGACACAGGACTTGTCGGCGGCATTATGCGGTTCTCACTCATGGGGCTGTCACTGTTATACTTCTGCTTTGAAATACTCATCTTGCGTCGGACAAGAAGCGTAATTGAGGCAATAACGGCAATTCCAACGACTCCCCCGACAACGCCGCCTGCAATAGCGCCAGCGTTCGAGTGGCCCGTGCGGGAAGATGCCGCTTGACTAGCGGCAACAGAAAGCGACGACATTTGTGCGAGGTACGACGTCGATACTGCTGCAAATGCCGTTGACATAGAGGAAACCATTGCATTGGCATCAGGAAAAACCTTAGTGTGAAACATGTGTTAAATTTCAAGAAATTGTGGGAATTTGCGGAAACTTTTCGCAACTTGACGGAAGTTTTAGGGGCAATCAAGTTGATAAAAAATCGCAGCCCCCCAAAACAAGTTGCGGCAAATTCCTGCAACTTTCATCAAGTTCGAGCACATTTTTTGCATTTGGCCAGGTTGGTTGGGGGTTTTGATTGGCCTTTCCATTATTCGGGCTTCACACTTGGTTTGTAGTGTAGTAAAAGTACAAATGACATTCACTGGATACTGGTGCAAAGCAAAGTTCTGGCTACACTACTGCTATGAAGCGATAGAACCCTGTTGGGCCAATAGGTTATCTGATGCCCTCCGATCCACAGTTAAGACTCCAGTGACTCGGACAGAATGCACCCAATCGACCAGACGTCGAGCGCGGGATTGTAGGGTATTCCAATGACTAAAAGTAAGACATCCAAGTTAGGACGCAGAAATGAAGACACGAGAAGGCCAAGACTCACTGATTTCGAGAGCGCGGTAGAATCGCGAGACGAGGTAAGGCGTGATATATTCCTCTGCCGCATCGGACGCAGAGCTCAAGCTGCACAGCTTGAACACCGTTTCTGCCCATTGACCTACTTAACCATTCTGTAAACCATGGCATGCATGGGGATGGATAGAAAGACGTACGAGGATGTTATCAGGCTTGATATTGGTGTGCATAATATTCAGCTTCTCGAGTAAACTCGAGAGAGGAATAGCTGGTGAGCGTACACTCGCACTGCCTTGATATTCAGACCAACATCCTTGCCAAATTGCTTGACGACGTCTCGGAGATTCATGCTGCATGAGTATGTTAACAGAATATTTCTCACGTGATGGGTATATGCGCACCTCATAGGCTCAAACGCCAAGCACAGTTATCCACAGTGCGCGAACATCCGCTCAAGGCGAACGCTGTGTTTCTTGTAGCGCTCGTATTGGATGAGTGGTGCACCTAGTGTAGGTACCACAACGCCATCGAGTGCGGCGAGGTGCGATCCACACGTAGTACTGCGCTCGGAGACCTGAGGAGTGCGGGTGCTCGTGCGGATGGTGGGATGGCAGCTGCATGCTGCTGGACAATTAGATCCCCAGTGTCCGACGAGTAAGTGGCAGGGCTACATAAATAGGTTGTGAGTTACACGCACCTATGGCCCCATTCCAGCATACAAAGCTACGTGAAGGTCAAACCACTGGCGATGGGATGGGAAGCAACGAGAGAGCAGCTAGGTGGGAAGGAAGAGGCGGCGACCATGAAGGTGAAGATGAGGAATGAGACGCGGCGCAGGAGCAGAGTCGTAAGTCCGTTGTTGTGCCATGTTTGGTTGGTTCAATTTCGCTCCCTTCCATTGTTCGCTTCGCTTATGTTGTATATGCCAAGACATGTTGGCAGCCAACCTCAGGCTGCGCGCGCAAGGCCCACAAAAAGTTCTCTTTCTGCAGCGTTAATGACCCGGAAAAGCTGACTGGAGCGTCGCTGAGCACTGAAATAATGTGCAAGACCATGCACCTCGCTTCTCAGCGACATCTTGAGTTGCCAGTGATTGTAATCCACTCAGGCTAGTATCAAGTTGAAGTCAGCACTTCGGGTGTAGGCATTCACCAAGCAATCGCTTCCTTTGTTTCTATGTAACATGTACCAACTGATCTAATAGTATACATGTCTAGCTAGGTGTGGCCAGTGTGTGTTAGGGTTACCCGTATCGATCTTTACCTATGTATATAACCTTGTGCGTGTGTATCTTACCGGAGCTGTCTGCAGCTGTGCCTAAGTACTATATATGCTACCACAATTAATCAGGTGTGATGGGCATCGCATACCAGGAACATTATATGCTGTACTAAGGTTCCATACACATTTGTGTCATATTGAAATCACGATAAGTGATGCAATGCGACTTTCACTCGAAGTTAGAAAAATTGGAACAAATTTTGTCAAGTTTGGTAAAATTGCGCATATTTTCATTGACTTGGCGGAACTGGTCTCCACTTTTTCGGTACTTGACAAGCCTTGGAAACTTTACATAAGTTGTACCCATTTTCCCACTGAGGTTTTTCCTGATGCCTTGAGACTGCTGTTGGCTGACGAGATCCGGATGCTAGGTAAACAATGCAGCGGATTAGTGGAGGCTATCGGACTTACTTGCGTTAGCATATGCTGTGACGTTATCCCATGAATCATCCTAAGTCCCATCCATCAGCTTATGATATAAGTTCAGCTACGCATTGTGCCACGTACAATAACGGGAAGATAGGACCAAGGAGGAAAGACTGTGCCAGCTGGAGTATTTCCATAAAAGCTAAAGAAATGTTCATCGAGGTCAGTATATCGTCAGTTTATCCATAGTCTGCATATGTACTTCTCATAGAACGGGCCGTTGCTCCCATTACAAAAGGACATCCAATAATGCCACCTGCAAGTTGTGATAGTAAATCTGTAGCGCGATACAGTCAAGCGTACGTTGACTCACTCTTGGGCCTGTAAGTTTTGACATTGCGCACAAGCCCCCAATAAGGAATAAGTGACCGTATTACATATGCATGGCGTTGCAGGTTCCGTCACCGGCCCCGGTCCGCCATATACCTCGCCAGGTCCCAAGGGTGGGATTTCAACATTGCCTAAATGCTACGTTTCAATCAAAAGGTACATAGAACAGTGTTAATCGCTTTTCACTCACTGCCGCAGCCCCAGGCATAAGCTCCGGCCTGACAAGGAGTCTGCCCTAGAGAATTTTTGGCCTGTACAGTTATACTCAGTTACAAGCCAACCACGTCGAAACTTTCTCCATGCTGTGCACGGGAACCTTGACTTACCCAGTCCATTGACGATGGGCAAGTCACATTGGTGGTTTGTGCGCGTGTCAGTGTCAAGAAACATACTAGCGCGCTAAGGTACCGTACTAAAACGGTGACCGCGGACACCATTATGTGAAGTGAGGTAGAGTCAAAGGCGAGAGGAGATTCACGGGAGATGGCTTGCTGAAGATGCAGGGTGTTCATTATATCCAGTTCCTGGAGGTGCGTCTGGCGCTTCAGTACACTCTAAGAATAGGCAGATTAAGCGAATCAACTTTTTAATATGCGGCGGAACATATGAAGACTCACACGAAGACAGTGCCGCGTCTAGATGTGGACGGCCGGGCGGTAACCTGGGTGATTTCCTAGACTTCACCTCGAGCATCAAGTTCATCACGGATATGTTGTGAACGTAACATTTGTAGTTTGCATAACTTGTGTAGATGCAGGCGGATAGAGTACTAACATAGCCAAAAAGTACAGGGAATGGAATACAGACAATGTCGCAGCCCAGCGCTTAACTTGTTCCGATCATGGCGCAAGTGATATCTTGTGTCCTGCCATTTAGCCTTACTAGGACGTTGATGAGAGATAAAGGATGATGATCGTTACCTTGTCAATGGTGTACCAAAAACAACAAGATCTGTTGAAACTTGAAGAAGACGCAGGTTTTCTTACCGAGGTCCGACCCATATCCTTCCTTTAAAAAACACGCAACGGGGCTGTTGGTGAATTACCTGGCCCACCGAGTTCACCTTTAGACCACTCAATCATCGCGATGATAAACCCCAACACAAACAAGAAGCTCCTTTGGCAGCTGCCTTGTAAACGCTTTCAGAGCACTCAAACGGATAATCGGTATCCCAACTTAACTCACACGAAAGCCATTGAGTTATGCGCTTGCCGCCGGCCAGTTTCAGATTTTTACACTTGGGCCCTCATTTCTCAATACTTCTGTAATTTCTCAATGTTATAGCAATGTAAACATACCTAAATAAAACGGTAGGACTCTCAAGATTTTACCTAGGATATCTCTGGAGCACCAGTATATCCACCGGCAACAAAGACTTCCTGATGAGACGGTAGGTGAGACAGCCCTCCATGGCTGTAGATTCGCTGATTTCCGTTGTGTGATTCGGGTCCGCTTGATGGAAAGCCGTTAGGAAATGTACGAGGATCATTGGGGTTCTGTGGAGACATTAACTTTCAAGAACCATGAAATAGTATCATCGAAATAAAACATACATAAGGAAGGTGAGAGACAATGCTGGGGGCTTGCGGGGTGGAATATTGAACAAGTGGCGAACGGCCCGCAACACTGTGTGAAAGGCTCTTCCTCTTCTGTCGTAGCAACAACACAACAAGTGCTGATATCAGAGCAACGCCTACGAGCCCGCCCACAACACCGCCCGCAATCGCACCGGTGCTTGATTTTGAAGATGGTGGTGATGATGCGGAGGGCGCCGTCGAGGTAGAGCTGGCCTGGAGTGCAGAGAAGGACGATACTCTGGCGACAGACGCGGTAGACATCACGGAAGCTGACGATACGCTCACATTTCCGGCAACGTAGGCTGGTTTGGAGTCAAATAGCATTGTAAGCAGAGCGTTTGTTGAAGTTGTGAACGAATGCAGTATGCAAGAAGAAGCTTACTTGCGTTCGCAATCGCATTCACGCTACTCCACATATCGTCCTGTTGATAACATGAAAAGCTTGGTCAAATTGGACTCTGGGTGCTGATATTACTTCACACACCGGAACTGGAAGGTATGACCACGGTGGAAAGGCAGTACCGGAAGGTACAGGCCGGGGATACCTAACAGGTCTCTTAAAGTCATGTTAAGGCGAGACTGTCAAAACATACATCTCATATTGAGGCGCATTAGACCCATTGCAGTAGTTCATCCAGCCGCCTAGACTGCATTTTGGAGTTTTAGCATCGGTAGCTTCGCCATTTAAAGTTGAGAGGGCAGGCTAATGCCTTCTTGACTCACGTCTGGGCCGTATGATTTTGGCACATACCGCACGCAGCCATCAGTGAATACGTGACAGAGTTGCAAATGCATGGAGAAGCAGCTTCGGTGACCGGTCCTGGTCCTCCGTACACGGTCCCCGGAGGTAAAGGAGTGATCGCAACACTTCCTGTACTCATCGAGCTAGTACCAGCTAACCTTAATGGAAAAAAAGCAGATCCAACTCACCGCCGCATCCCCAGGCAAACGCACCAGCAAGGCAAGGGTCCTGCCCCATAGAGTTCTTTGCCTGATAATGAGCGATGAGTCAATCTTAGCATAAAATGCCTTCGTTGGGCAACGGGTATGGGACTTACCCATTTCATTGAGTCAGGGCATGTCACATTCGAAGTTTGTCCCCTTGCTAGGGTGGACAGGTACGCAAGAAACCAGACTCGCACGGCCCGGAGGCCTAATACTGCGTTCATGAGGGGAAGGTGTTCAAGGCAGATACCAGTTCCAGCCCAGGGAGCGAGTTAAAATATGATTGGTATGAGTGACGAGGAGCCACCCGGCGAGGAACAGTCGTACCGATGCGGGCTGACGAATCCCTTTTGTACTTGCGCGGACTAATCAGCAGGCGACCGGTTGATTGAAATGTGATGAACTTTAGATGATGCACGATAGATCATGATCATAACACCGCTCAAGTACAACGTGATGATGCACTTGTGATGCACCGCTTTGCGAGACCAAGCACTTACAAGCGAAGGAAACCGCTCTGAGATAGATTTGACACCTTTCAATGAATATGATCGTTAGTTGAGGAATGGGAAAGTCGAACAAAGTGGGCTCATACGGGCGTGGCTGGGCCAAAGCTTTCGAAAAGCGGTGGATATTTTGAAACCGGGTACCTACTAACATGCCGAGGGGCATAACTTAAACCAGGCTGGCAGGAACCTAGCAAGAATCCTGTGTTACCATGCGGAGAATCAATCAGTTATATATAATCCGAACGAAGCTGTGAGCGATATGAGATCCCACCTGTACATGATGATAACACTGAAGGTGGCCGGCAAATATTGACAAGAATCATTCCGTGGGGTTTTTGGATCAAATGCCATCGATCCATCCCGAAGCCCCGAAGCGGAGTTCCAACCAGAGCGTGGGTGGACGTTGGGCGTCGGTGCGCGGGATTGATGCGTGTCCACTTTCTGCTTCCCGCCCCCCTTGCCCATTACCACTCGCACACCAGGTGTATGATCTCTCTTGAGCTCGCTGGGACATTGCGAATAGGCTGATGAAATGAAGCGTCTAGCTTGCATTTGGCCTTGCCACAGCCCTGAGCATGAAAGCCAGCACCAATCATGCGCAAACAAGCATTTCAGCGTCTAGCTGTCGCAATCCGGATCCCCCATGTTTCCGCTTCCATCCTTCTCCTGCGTCACAGCTTCAGGCGAGCTTGGAAGCCTCCTCATCCAGAGTCTCGATTCCGCGGAAACCCGACATGCTCTATTCTAGCAGTGAGCCGCTGAAACTGAACTCTGAGGGTCCAACGTTGCGATGACACTACTGTATATGACGTCGAGCCGATGGCTATGTCTTTGCATGTCGAAACACGACAACTCTCCTAGCAAGGTCCGCGGATGTTGACTCGGTCTATGCCAACTCCTCTGTTAGCCAGCATTAGTACCGTGCCCCCTCGTTTGGGGACGTTTCACCGAAGGTCCTCGGATTCCCTCCTGTCTCGTCATGGTCCGCCAGCGCTTGACCCCCCAACGATAACGACTACTGTTTTCTCGGTGTGCGGAAACACGACGTCACTTTCCTCAAACACATACACGTCTCAGAGTGCGGCTGCTATCCTCCTGCACGCTCAGCCTACACAACACCCCTGACCATAAAGGTATATAAGCCTTCGCAGTTCTGCTGTTGAACGATATCACATCTCACTCTCATAACAACTCAACCTCATATCGCTCATAACGATCTCACATATTCTGCAACAATGTTCTTCAACTCCGCTACAATCGCCCTTGCACTTACCCTCGCCTCAGTCGCTCGGGGCGCCACAATCGCCGTCCGCGGCGGCGGTGACTGTAACGGCATCTTGGGATGGCAGCGTAACCAAGCTGTAAGTACCACCGTTCTCGTGAAAGTTGTTACCATAACGTCTCCATTAAAAACAGTATTCACGCGGCGACGAGATCTCCTACTGGTATGCATGCACTCTCACTAATTTCAAATTCATGACCGTGTCCCTCATCACCACTTTCCTCAGGGGCTCTATCTGGCAAGCGAAAGAGTGGAGCTATAACAACCCTCCTGGCGGTATGTTGCTGCATCCTTGCCCTCCATGACCACGTCGCTGAAGTTACTCGATAGACGCCGCTAACCAGTGGAACAACGTTGGTTCCTGCAATGGCGCTAATAATGGCAACAACGGCGGCGGCGGCTCAGGTGGAGGTCAGAATTGGAACAAGGCGAGAGGCGACGACGGCAACGACACACAGGGTGTGAACAACGACAACAGTGTCACCAACAACAACGACGGCGGCATTAATAACGCCAACGGCTGGAATAACGGTGGCAATGATATCTGGGGCAAAGACAAGGATGGAGGCGACTCGAACAACCACAACGGTAACAACAACTGGGACCAGAACAAGGACAGCGGCAGCAACTGCGACTGCTCCAACGCTCAGCCCTGGTCCAAATCCGCACAGGTTCGCATACATCTTCTCGTCACTGCTTCTCAAAACGCTGACACGTCCCAATCTTACAGTACCCCGGCGGGAGCTTTGTCACTTACAAGTAAGTCAATCGTCAACTATATCTGCATCACTCTTTAACCTCGTCTATAGTGGTCATCTCTGGATCGCCAACTGGTGGGTAACGAGTAATTGCCCTGGTGGTGAGTCGAGCCCTCTCTCGTGTTTACTTCCAACTGACGCTGATCTCTGCTTAGACACGTCGGGTTCTTGGACGGACAAGGGTGCCTGCAGCAAGTGGTAAAACCGATTAGGTTCGTTTCCGGCGGAAATTTATCCTAGAGAATTCTTTGAGATGGGATTGGACTCTTCTCGAAACCAGATATTAATGTACTTAACTCGATTGCTTCAATGACCATTGTTTCTTGCTATTCACCTCGTATTGAAGCGTGAATCTTTCTCTTTCCCTCGTTCCTTTGAGATCGATTGATTTCCTCTTTTCGCTTAACTCACGTCTTTCTCTTCTGGTGTCATTTTTCTCAAACTGCGATTCCCTTCAATGATTGCTCTACTGGGCTCTACACCTTTTCTGACAATCAATGCATTTCCTATAAGATGACCGCAGACTCGGACCACATACTCCTGACATGTGCATGCCTATGTGCCACAATCGGCTTCAACTTACTTTCAAAATGATACCAGTCTAATCCATAATCAATCTAGAAGGATATACGGCTAATCCAGCGCTTTATATCACTGTGGCCCGAGTGTCATTTGTGAGGTGCACGCAGTCCCGGCCATAACAATCTTAGTCTTGGCGACTCAGGTGCGTTATCGTTTGAAAATTTAAACAGCTCCTCACCAAGTGCGCGGGTATGGCCTGTGTGTCACGGTGCTACGGTAATAAGCATTCGTCAACGGTAGCCAAGAGTATCCACTAACGTATTACAACCAGCATTGGATCCGTTTAATAGATCCGTTTAATAATCCAGTCATAACCCTATTGGGGTGTATATTATATAAAGTCCCTCCAAAGTGCAAAGCAAGCGATATTATGCTACACGGGGGTGGAAGCCGGCTCGTCCCCGCCTTAATGGGTTGTAAAATGCGCACGACAGCTTTAACGCTGTCCAATTCGGCGCATGGTTCAGAATCTTCCCCGAATGCTGCCAGTGTGGAGATATTTGGTGGCGAGAAGCATCACCGCGGAAAGCATCACAGTTCCACCTAAACAACTCCTTCATCAGCCCACACATCCCTGACTTCAAACCGGCAGTTTACGCACCCGCATACCATCCCACATCCTCAAATCCGCCCGTCGCACTATTAATAGCACCCGAGATCGGCGGCCCCGCAACGGCGCCCACCGCCGAAATCGTGAAAAACATGCCCACCCTCCGCCCGACATCGCCCGTCTCGCCCATGAGAATCGCGGGCGCGGAGCAGAGCGAGACGTACGCGCCGCACGACCCGCCATAGATCACCGCGACGGCGATGAGCGAGCCCTGCGTGCGCGCAAAGGGCCACGCGAACGTGAGCACGCCGGCGACGACGGTGAAGGGCGTCATGATGGTGATGGCGCCGACGCGGTCGGCGAAGTAGCCCGCGAGGATGCGGCCGAGTGCGGAGGAGGCGTTTGCGATGGCGACGAGGTAGAGCGCGAAGTTGGGCGAGACGCCGACGAGGGTGGCGCTCACGGGGATGTATGTCAGGACTGGAATGAAGGGACAGTGAGTCGAGGGGCAAGATGTGAAGGGTGAAAAAGTGGTGAGCATACCTGTATATAACCCGAGGAAGGTCATCAACCCCGATAGACAATACATGGTGTACGCTTTATTACGGAACGCAGCGAGGTTGAGAAGCCCGCCTTTGACCGGTATAGGAGGTAGTCGCCGGTCGATCAGCTACAAACGGGAAGAGACAATTGAGTCAATCACTCGTGAGCTGAGCTCGCAGCGCACATGCGAATTCGTGCACGTACCAAGTTGCCAACGCCGAGACACCCGATGAGGATGAAACCGAAGATACGCATTGTCCATTTGAACCTGACAAATGCTCAGCTATAACGAAACTTGAGAAGGGATTCCGCCGCACATACCCTACCATAGGCAGCAGGTTCTGCGCCGCGACTGGGAAAACGGTTCCTCCAGCCGACGATCCTAGCGCCGTAATGCCCAACGCCAGCCCGCGCTTCTTCTTGAACCAATGCGAGACGACACCGAGCGTAGGGCCGAAGATCACACCGGCAGAAAGCTATGTCATTCATGAGGTCAAGACGAAACTCGGCAGCGCATGTGATTACTCACCCCCAAAGCGAAGCCCTGGCAGAGAAGGAAGTGCCAGTACTCGGTGCATTCGGCGGTGAGGAAGGTGCACGCGACGAGGACACAGCTAGCGACGAAGAAGGGGATTTTGAAGAAGCCTAGGTCAAACAGTCGTCCGGTGACTAGACCGGGAAAGAATACCAGCGAGTACTGTGGCGACGTCAGCAGAGGTGCGGAGACTTCGAGCAATGGGCTCACCTGTATTGACCCTATCCACGCACTGGTGAAACGTTTAGTACGACGGTGGTGACAAGCTGGGGGGAACATACATGTTTGAGGGATTCTCATCTTTGAGAAGAGTGGCTTCGTAGTAATCTTGGAATATACCCCAGGCATTGACGAACCCAAAGCTATAGTGCGGGCATGTGTCAGTTCTTCGTATAGCTAACATGGTTCCTTAATAGACTCACGTCGTAAACGTGCAGAGGACCGTGCTGGCGTGCACATCGCACCGTCAGTACGAACATGTTCAGTCGCACAGAAGACAGAGTACGCACGACAGCAGCACCAAATATGCCTTCATTCCACCATCCGGCGGCTCCCCATACTGCTCGCGGATGCCCTCCTCCTTTGCCTCAACCCGTGCCTCCTCGGTCTTTTCGGCCATGTCAAACGAGGGCTGTTCACGAAGGGTGCGGTCGTCGTCGGCCCTCTCTGCCCTGACGGGTTCAGGTGCATTCGTTGCTTCAACGATCTCCGGAGACGCCATCGACGGGTCTTGGCTCTGCTGGTCTTGACAGAACGACAACCTGTGTGGATCTGGCGGCGGAAGCAGGACAACGACACGGGACTTGGCTCTTGTGTTGCCTTTTACTGGACCTCGGATGATTTAAAAATGGCACATTAGCCTGCCGTCGGCCGCTAAATGTTGGGTGAGTCAGCGAGTGGCCTGTTTAGGCGTTCGTGTAACACATGTGGATCGCGTCCTCAACTGAAGCTGCCTCGCTGGGGTCATAGCAGCGGCAACGAAGGTCGGCCGAAGGACAGGTTTTGCATCAGACTCACTTATGAGAGCCTTAGTGCGAAAATGACGGTTAACAGGACTTTCTCCGATGTTGCGCGTGTCGTACTATGTTTGGAGTGGTGTTGCGATTGGTGGTAGGAAAAAGCGGGTGACGTGATGCATCTTGACACAAATCTCGACGCGGAATCAGCCGACTCAGAGATGATTTGATCGGCGATAGAACTTCATTGGCTCCGAGCCTCCTCCACGCGATCACGGCCGGGTCCGCACGAACAAAGATAGGCTCGCTCGTGCCTTGACCGAGCTTGGCCGCTCTCCAGAACGCCACCTACGTCTTTGGGTGGCGAAATGAACCGCCCAATGAAGGTCGCACCTCAGGCTGCAGTGCCCCTTGACAATCATGGGAAATCCAGGACTAAGGTGGCCCCCGATGCTTAGCAGCTGAAATAGTACTAGTCCCTGTCAGTTCCTCCTCCAGCTCATTTCGTTGCAACAGGCCCTCATAAGCCCTCACATGTCACAGTCTGCAAGCGCGTCCGCAGTATAAAAGCACCTACAAGTTGAACTGGCATATCCATCGCTCCCTTTCAATATCTGTACCTCACATAACAACAGCCATGTACACTGCTGAAATCCCCTTCCCCTTCCCCTTCGACCTCAAAGCCCACACCGACATCCCCGTCGTCGCCGTCATGGCATACGTCTTCCTCAGCGGCACGCGCATACACGCATCGCTCAAGAAGATCGCCGACGCCCAAGGCGGCGAAATCCGCAAGGACTCGCTGCCCACGTCGTTCCTGGGACGGATCGTCACCCCGATCCACGGGCTCGCGTTTCTCCTCCCGCAGGCGGCATACCTCGTTGGCGTGCCGCTCAGCGGGTTCAGGCAGCCGGATTGGATGCTGCGTTGGGCGCTTCCTTCCCTTAACCTGACGCTCGGTCAGAAGGCGAGTGTGAGGCTGGTGGCGAGCGGAATGTTGGTGCTGGTACTGCATGGGTTCTACAAGAGGATCGCGAAAGACCTGGGTGATCAGTGGCATACCATTGGTGTACGTTCATTACTTCTCATCGATTTATGAACTTTGCTTATGAACGGGTCTACCACATAGCGTCGCAAGAACGTCAAAATCGTCAAGCACGGCGTCTACTCCGTCGTGAGACACCCTATGTACACGTAAATCTGGTCCCATTTCCTTGTGAGAGCTCTAAAGCCTGACGAGCCATCCAATATGCAGCGCCGTATTGATCCAACAGTTGCTCTTCGGGCTCATGTACTGGTCGTACGTCCCCTTCGCGACGTTTGGCATCTGTAGCGTCGCGTTTGCTATCAAAATGCCCATCGAGGTAACCTATGCAGCGTAGCATCCAGCATGTGTCTAACAGCTTTGTAGGAGGACCTCATCATGCAAGATGCATCTGTCGCTGACGAGTACAAGGTATACAAGAAAGAAGTCCCTTACAGGATCCTGCCGTACTTGTGGTGAGATGGAAGCAAACATGAAAGTGCTATTTTGTCCCGATGCTGGGGCGACCACCTTTCGAGCTAGCTACTTTATGCTACCAAATTATCAATGAAGATGGAAACTTATCATGTATTCACTAGGACTTGTGTGGAAGTGTCGCCTTCTAGATGGCAAAGGAGTTGTTGATCAGGACGGCTCGTCAAAGCTTTGGCTATCCTTTCAACCACCGGTTTCGTTTAAGAGCAGAACGTAACCATCATCGAATTTATTTGAGCTCGAGCATATAGAGGGTACCTATCGAACGCATAAGACATGGGGCTCGCATGAGCTATCAAACCATGAAGGGGGTCGGTGAGGACATCGCAATGAACAACTACCTATAGCAAAGCCCTTCAGAAGTGTGTGAATCGCACTGACATGCACACCATATCAGACACAAGAGGCGATAAAGACGAAATGTGATCTAAAGGTTAGATCATAGCGCCGACGAAGATGGTGATGAGGAGACGGAGAACGTGATCAAGGTGCAGATAGGGCTTGGCAACGAGCGCGATGTAGTCATCCTTCAAGGCAACTTGATATGCAGGACGAAGACCTGCGCACGATAACCGCCTAAAGTCGCCAGAGAGGAGAATTAAGAACAAGTTTTAAAGGCATCGCAAAGCAGAGCCTAATGAAGATTTGGAAAGATGAGCACATCATGATCTGGACAATAGAAACGGTAGACGGGGGCGCTGATTGGCGTCATCAGACGCAGAGGTTCCAGGTGGCGAGCTTCTTTCTTGTCCGAAAGAGATAGAAACTGTATATGATTTACTTCTCTCCATTGTAGACGTATCAGAAAGTCCAGTTTGGCGAAGGGGGTGTACTGCGATAGTCGAGCGCTGAATGAGCTGATGTAGCAAAGCGGGGGAGCGCTTACAAGTTCCGGCGCCTTGATAGCATTTGTTTACCTGTATTTGTACGCCCTACTCGTGCCGAAAAATTTGGTTTGTTGACCGGCGACAGCGAGCATACGATTAGCACCACTTCCTCGGCCAGCACAAGTCACCAAGGACGTCCAAGCAGTCCTCGAAGGAAGAAGAAAAATGGCATTCGGTTAGTCACATCGTCTGGCTATGGCTCGTCGGGTCGGGCGATCCCGATAACGTGGCCGCAATACTCATCAAAATCTTGTGTAGGAGCACCAGGCGGTCGTGGAGGCTTTGGCGGTGGACGTGGCGGCGGACGAGGAGGCGGAGGCGGACGTGGGGCGCCTAGAGGTGGCGGTGGAAGAGGTGGAGGACGTGGTACGTGACACTTCCTCTATCTATAAAATCTGACCCTCCCGCTCAACCGACCACTCTCTCTTTACCTCTCACAGGCGGAGGCTTCTCAGGACGCGGCGGCGGCGGCGGCTTTGGGGGTGGCGGCGGTGGACGGGGTGCACCACGCGGGCGCGGCGGAGGCAGGGGAGGCGGACGTGGCGGCGCGAGAGGCGGCGCGAAGGTGATCATCGAGCCGCACAAGCACGCGGGGATCTTCATCGCCAAGGGCAAGGACCAGCTGCTCGTCACGAAGAACCTCGTCCCCGGCGAGTCTGTTTATGGCGAGAAGCGTATCTCGATCGAGGGTGATGTTGAGGGCACCAAGACGGAGTATAGGGTTTGGAACCCGTTCCGCAGCAAGCTGGCTGCCGGCGTGCTGGGCGGGTTGTCGTCGGTGTATATTGCGCCGGGCAAGAAGGTGTTGTATCTAGGTGCGGCGAGTGGGACGAGTGTTAGTCATGTTGCGGACATCGTTGGGCCGGTGAGTGACTTTGAAGCTGCCTGGTGTGAGTTGGGCTGACGCGAGGTGTAGGAGGGTCTTGTGTATGCTGTCGAGTTCTCGCCCCGGTCAGGTCGTGACCTGATCGGCATGGCCAAAAAGCGGACCAATGTCATCCGTATGTCTCCCTCTCATCGTTTATCCCGCTGCCCTAACCAGTGTGCTACTAGCCATTGTCGAGGATGCCCGTCTGCCCAACAAATACCGCATGCTGCTGTCAACGGTCGACGTCATCTTTGCGGACGTTGCGCAGCCCGACCAGGCGCGTATTGTCATTCACAATGCGCAGTCGTTCCTCAAGGACGGTGGGCACATTGTCATCTCCATCAAGGCGAGCTGTATCGATTCGACGATCGCGCCCTCGGCAGTGTTTGCGTCGGAGGTGCAGGTGCTAAGAAAAAACCGGCTGAAGCCGATTGAGCAGATTACTCTCGAGCCTTATGAGCGTGACCACGCTATGGTTACTGGTGCGTCGCTTGGTTTTAGCAATGTATGGCGTGAGCTAATGAGTTTGTACAGCTGTTTACCAAAGACATCTGGCGGCTGAGAGTTAGTCTGCTCGTTTCTTTTGTTATGTTTCATGCTTCATGTATTCGCGTAATGTTCTGTCAACTCCTTCAAATATCCCTGTATGCTCCATGCACTTTGTTGTAAGGACAAAATGACACCAGGCTCGCGTCAGTAGCCGTTGTGTAGGAGTCTGTTGGAGTTTGCAACGACCAGAAAGTGACTGTGTTACGCACGTGATGAACATTTTGATGCGCAGCCTTAGCGCCTTGGAGTCGATACGTGTAGCCTTTACTTGACCCTTCCAGTACCAGACCCTTGAAGTTCCTCCACTCTTGACCAGGCTTAACAGAGCCTCTGCGCTCTCCACCAGCTCATGCGACCGGACCAGGTCCACATTGACTTCGGAACCCCAGAAGGGCCGACTCCACGCACCTCGGACGAGTACGAACAGGTCTCCTACCCCTCTACACACAACCACGACCACCAACATCACCACACCACGCATACGCACACACACCGTAACGAGGGCGGCAACGAGAGCTTACCCTTGCACTACATGTCTGAAGAGACGGCACGCAGGCGGGTCGCCAAAGGCCCCGGCAACTCGGGCGGGTTCATGAGCGGGGAGGAGAGCGAGAAAGACATGCCGTACGACGATACGGGCAAGGACGTTTACTCCAAGATGCGCCCCGGCGCTGGCGTGCCCCGCGTCAGCAGTGGCCGTGTGCACCGACCCCCTCCTCCCCCACCCACCTCCATCGTGAGCCCTCTTCACCTTCATGGCTGTGTACACGGACGCGCCATACTGACCACCCCACCCCGCCGCAGACCGAATACATCCACCAAAATATGGACATTGTCACGCCCATCTTCTACACCCTCCTCTCCTGCTGGAGCCGCTTCCGCAAGATCGGGCTCAACGACCACGTCGTCTGGGACGAGGCGCACTTTGGCAAGTTCGGCTCGTACTACCTCCGGCGCGAGTTCTACTTCGACGTGCACCCGCCGCTGGGCAAGATGCTCGTCGGCTTCGCGGGCGCGCTGGTCGGGTACGACGGGAGCTTCCAGTTCGAGAGCGGCGCGCAGTACACGGAGAACGTGCCGTATGTCGCGTGGCGCGTCGTCATGTCGATGTTTGGCGTTGCGCTCGTTCCGATTGCGTGGTTCACCGCTGTTGAGCTGGGGATGAGCCAGTTTGCGTGTCATGTGGTTGCGCTTATGGTTCTTTGTGGTGAGTTCTTCGTCTTGTGGATGGATGTATGCGGCGTTTTGGAGACTGATGGTGTGCTGCAGATGTCGGCTGGCTGGTCATCTCGCGGTTTATCCTTTTGGATTCTATGCTTTTGTTCTTCACGTTTACTACTGTCTTCTTCCTCGCTAAATTCCATAATGAGCAACACCAGTATGTTTCCCTCTTCAGTTGGGGTGCGGTCATGGCGCTTACAACTTCTCAAGCTCGTTTTCGTTCGACTGGTGGATGTGGCTCACTCTGACCGGGTTTTCCATTGGCTGCGTGTGCAGGCGAGTACTTTCCTTCATGTCACGACACGCGTGGACACTGAAGATCGTCGCAGTGTCAAGTGGGTCGGTCTGTTCGTCACCTCCGTAGTAGGTCTCTACACCATCGAGGATCTCTGGGAAAAGTTTGGCGATCTCAGGTTGTCGAACGTGCGTCTCTGTCACCTCCTTATTTTGCCAAGCTAATACGCCGCGTCTAGCGCCAACAAATCCGGCATTGGGGTGCACGCATTACGTGTCTCATCACGATCCCAATCCTCGTCTACATGGCCTCGTTCAAGCTCCACTTCATGATCCTTAACCATTCCGGTACGGGCGACGCGCAGATGAGCTCACTCTTCCAGGCGCACCTCGTCGGAAATGACTTTGCGACCAACCCTCTGGGTGAGTACATATATTACGTACGCATATATATGCGGATGTCTGACGGTTTTCAATAACAGAGGTTGCCTACGGATCCAGGATCACACTCAAGAACATGGGCTGGGGCGGTGGCCTTCTTCACTCGCACGTCCAGACCTATCCCACCGGCTCCGAGCAGCAGCAGGTGACGTGCTACCACTACAAGGACAACAACAACGAGTGGAACATCCTCCCCCGGTGGGACGAGCCCGCGTTCGACCCAAACTCCGATATGCGCTTCCTGAAGCACGGCGATATCATCCGGCTGCAGCACGGCCCGTCGACGCGCAACCTGCACAGCCACGAGGTCGCGGGGCCGATCACGAAGGTCAACTACGAGGTGTCATGCTACGGCAATGCCACCGTCGGAGACTACCACGACTATTGGGTTGTCGAGGTGCTCGACGATATCAAGCAGGGAAAGAGGGAGCATGTGGAGAAAATCCATGCGCTCACGACCCGGCTGAGGTTTAGGCACTCTACGCTGGGGTGTTATCTGCATGCGGGAACGGTGCCGCTGCCGCAGTGGGGGTTCAAGCAGATCGAGACGACGTGTATCAAGGAGAATGATCCGAGCGATGCGCATACGATTTGGAATGTGGAGGGGCACTGGAACGATCGGCGTGCGTTGTCCTTCCCTACATCTCTCCGTTTATTAAACACCGAGCTGACGCTTCGAGGCAGTTCCACCCGCCGATGCGACGTACCACAAGTCTCCCTTCTTGCGCGACTTCTGGCATCTCAACGTTGCGATGATGACGTCGAACAACGCGCTGATGCCCGACGTCGACAAAGAGGACATCCTCGCGTCCGTGCCGACCGACTGGCCCCTGATGCGCCTCGGCCTGCGCATGTGCGGATGGGGCGACGAGATCCCCAAGTACTACCTGATCGGCACGCCAATCGTGTGGTGGGGCAGCTTCGTGGCGATTATCATCAGTGTGTTTGTGCTTGGCGCGTACCTGCTTAGGTGGCAGAGGAAGTATGTGGATATGGACGCGCATGAGTGGGGCCACTTTTTGTATGTGGGCAAGATTGCGTTTTATGGCTGGTTTTTGCACTATAGTGAGTGGTTTCTCGGTGCTGGTGTATTAGAGGGATATGCAGATGCTGATGGGGGTGTTTGATAGTTCCGTTCTTTATCATGGGTCGTGTCACATATGTGCACCACTACGTACGTTCCCATCTCCTTCCCCCTTTCTGCCAATCGTTTGCTAATTGGGCTCTCCGCTCGTCTAGCTCCCGACGCTCTACTTCGCCGTGCTTATGTTCGGGCACGTGTTCGACCACTTCTTCTTCAGCTCACGCCGCCTGTCCACCAAGACGAAGCGCATCGTCTTCGGCGTTGTCACATTCCTGATCGTCGCCAACTTCTGGTGGTTCCGCGGGCTCGCGTGGGGCATGGAGGGCCCGATCAACGACCATTGGGGTCTTCAGTGGCGCAAGGTACGTGCCCTGTTCTCGTTCGCGCGGAGTGTATCGAGGGCTGATGCGGGTGTTGCTGTTGCAGAGCTGGAATATCTACAACATATAATGATGGAGGTGATAACGAAGGGGAAGAAGGAGATGAGGACTATGGGTCTTTTGTTGGCAAATGTTTCGGCGGGGGTAAATTATATGTTTGAAGTAAAAAGGAGTCGGCTGTTGGCTGTTGGCTGTTGGAGAGTACCCGATACACACTTGAGCCTGTTGCTTGTCTAATTATCTATTGGTCCCCGTTCAACTCCTGCTCTGCATACCACACATCTCAGGACGCGAGGAAGGGTGTGGCTTCGGCTAAATAAGCGTCAACAGGGGAGTAAGGAGAACACCGGTACACCGCGCTATCTGGTTCATCAAAGACGCCCATCTCAAAGGCAGGTCACACTAGAGTGAGCTGCGATTTGCCTCCTAGTATATCATCTGAACCAATCAGAATATTCTAGGCTATCATGGCGGCAAACTGGCTACCATTGACGGAAAGGCAGTCTTGTCGCTCACAGCTTGGGGGCCAGATACGTCAACTTCTGTCTCGCTGCAACGCGCTCATTCCCATCTGCTGTCTTCCACATGAAGTTCTAGCCGACATCTTTACGTGGCTTATGCCCAGGTTTGCTGAGCACGGGGTGCTTCGGGCAACCCATGTTTGTCGCCATTGGCGTGATGTTGCTTTAGCATTTCCGCACCTCTGGGCAGCAGTCGATATTACAAACACCAGCCCAGAGATTATCCGACTGATGCTGAAAAGGTCCAAGGAAGCTCCGCTCACCATTTTGCCACACGGGACCGGAAATTTGCTGCACCCAGGAATCTTCGATCTTGTTGGGGACTTGGGCAGACAGCTCTATCGGACGCGCGCCTTAGTGTTGTTCCTTCCTCTCCAAAAAAAGCGTGACCTTGTTCATCGCCTCGATTACGAGGCTCCTATCTTGGAGACCTTGTATGTAATTGCCTGGCAAAGCCGTTCTCGCAACGGTAGCGCCCTCCGTATTCCTGGCATGCCAACCAATACGCATATGTTGCGTCAACTACTCCTCGAGGGATACATACCATCATGGGACGCGCCGATATTTCGGGGATTGACTTCCCTTACGCTGATCACCACATTGGATCTATCGCCCAAGTTGCATGAACTTTTACGGGTGTTGCAAGCGGCAACCTCCTTGAGGTATCTCTGTCTCACAGCTGCTCTTTCTCGTTTGGACATAGCACCGTCATCCTGGGATGCTGGTCCGGTCGTAACCTTGCCCACGCTATACCATCTCGAGCTGAAAGAAACCACATTCACCCAATATTCACATTTCTTTTCCCGTGTTTCTATCCCTTCGGACGCCCACGTCGTCCTCGATATCACGTTACCTCGGATCGAGGAGGGCCTGCCACATAGTCTGACCCTGCTGCCACCCCTGCGTCTCTCGCCTTACTGCACTGAAGGGGAGCCGATGCATACAATGGAACTTCGGCTAAGCCACAGCGTTTGCTACAATATTCGCGACCTTTCGCCCAAAGCTCCTCCGAATTGTTCGTGCTCCGTCGGCCAATCACGAGGGGCCTGTTTGAAAGCAACATTCAAATACTCGGAGATTTTGGGGAGAAACTTCTTGCTCGGTCCGTTAGACCCTCTTTGCTATGCTTTGCCCCTCGTTTCCATCCATACTCTGCATCTGGAACTCAGCAGGGGCTTTCCACGCAGGGGTGAGATCCCTTGGTGCGATCTCCTCCCGGTATTCCCCCGCTTACAGGTCTTGCGCTTCGAAGTCGTTGATGAAGTCGTACAGCTGTCCCTTTTAGCCAAGGCATTAGCTCCTCGTGGAACATCAATGTTTGTTCCTCAACTTCGGGAGCTATACATGACAGACCGCGGGCGGGAACACTGTCTCATCGAAGGTTTTGCAGATGCATTTGAGCAGCGAGCATGCGTAGGAATGCATCTCGACAAGATTTCGGGAGAGTGGATCAGATTGGCAGACTCTGAGCTGGTCAGGTTGAGATGGGTCGTCAAAAGCGTGGAATGGAGTAAGAAAGGATGGCACTGGACCTGAGACAGTATGGAAACTTGCGGAGTAGATAGTGCTCATCATAAATTGCAACGCACGTTTTCCGACACATACATTCAGTGGACATAATTGTGAGCCAAGGCTAGAAAGGATTTTGACTCATGTCTTGGGTTACAGGCCAAAGAGAGCACGGAACCTCTTGCGGAACCTGCTTTGGGGTAGTTTGTTTGGCAAGAGCCTCGGGTCCAAACAATGGAGTAGCGGAACGGATTAGGCAACGCCTCTTCGTCTCTATGTCTTCCGTCAAATCTGTGGGTGGCTTCAGTGCTGTACCCATCGCCTACTCCAGCTCGACACATTATCTTTACTTGCGAAAGAATACAACCTCTAAAGCAAAACGGACGGACGAACTGCCCGATGGACGTACACTTTTCCTCGTGAACGTGCCCGTCGATGCAACTGAACGCGAGATCGTGCTTTTCTTCAAGCCTTGCGGAACCGTGGAACGCGTCGTTTTCAACCAGGACTCGCCTGAGGAGCAATTAATAGCGGAGAGCGACTCGGAGGGGGATGGGGATGGGGACGAGATGGATGACGTCCAGGAAGGAGAGGAGCTGGAAGAGGACGAGGAGGAGGGACCCAGTGAAAAACGTCGCAAACGACGGCGGTTCAACAAGGATTCGGCCGCCCCACCATCTGTTGTTTCCCTTCCTTCCCCTTCCTTACGCATCCTTCGCCGAACAGGCGGTACTGCCCATGTCGTCTTCCTTGACCCCCCTTCACTCGACCGTCTCACCTCGACCTCAAAACCTCGCCCGTGGCCACGCTCTGAAGAGCCGTCGGGCCTAGCACACTACCGTGCCTTGTACACCTCCCTTCGTCCACCACTCGATGCTGTCAGAACTCATGCTGACAGCTTTATGACACTCTTCGAGTACAATCTCGCCAAGGCGAAGCAAAAGTCGAAATACCGCAAGGGAGAGGCGATTGTCGACGAAGACGGGTTCACGCTGGTCACCCGCGGCGGCGCATACGGAACAACTCTGGGAGGTGGCGTTGGCGTTGCGAGCAAGCAATTCGAGAAGGAAGGGCGTACGGCCAGTCGGAAGAAGAAGGAGCCAAAGGAGAAGGTGGCGTTCTACGCGTTCCAAAAGGCGGAAAAGCAGCGCAAAGGTGAGCAGCAGCGTACGCTGATCATGGGATGCATCGTTCTGATATGCATCGACCGCAGCTATCATGGACTTGAAGAAGAACTTCGAGCAGGATAAGGCTCGAATAGCGAAGCTCAGGGAGTCTCGCAAGTTCAAGCCCTACTAGTATTTCCACCGCGAAAGAGGTCTGTGGACCCTTGCGTTGTGTGATGTATCGTTACTTGTCAATGCAATGCTGCAATGTCAAAACCGAAGGCGATCATACGTCGCCTCCGGACTCCGGCTGAGCTGGGATCACTATCCCAGCTTCGCAGAGCTTCGCTCAGCTTCGCTCTCCACATGTGACAGCAGATATGCCTAGTACCGATGGCGCCTAATGATATCTCAGGTGGGTACGAGAAAAGGTGATGATACATTGCTCTGTTTTGGCTTCGTCACTGTATAAGCAAAAACATCTTTTCAGCCTTTCTACCGATCACTGCCTACGAGCAGCTGGGCTTGACAGCCTGACTCAGTGGGGTGGCGAAAAACCACGTCTATCTGACATAATATCCCCGGAAGATCTCCGAGTCTGTCGGCGATTGTTCCCCAAGCAGCCCCAAGCCAGCCCAAGCCCCATTTCGCTAGATTTCGCTGTGGAGGAATCTTGACGTCGCTGATGCGCTCTCCATCAAACTCGCGTGTCATTGACGCACCACTTCCGAGACGGGCTAGGCTATCCGTCAATCATCTCCAGAAACGCCCTCACTCATTCGGACCTCCCTGGACCTCCTTGGCGCGCACCTCTACTCGCTGTCCTGCGCATTACGAAGGCCATGCTTGCTCAGAGGCCACGACGGGCCGCTGACCAAAGAGCGACACGCACCAAGAAGGGTAGATTTCAAACCTCGCTCAGCTGCGTGACATCTTAGGTAAACTGGCATCGCGGAGCGTGCATAAAAGCACACTCAAACCGAACACCGTGTGACACGAACACGAAGCCCTCCAATTTCTGAAGCTCTACCGCGTTGCTTTCTTCAACGATGCCATCATCGACACAAGTTCTCATCGTAAGTGTGCCTCACTCAACCTATACCCGACTTAGAGCATTGATACTGACATCCCACGAGGCCGGTGCCGGGCCAGTAGGTCTCGTTGCTGCCCTCACCCTTGTGCAAAGTGGCGTATCCGTCCGTATCATCGAGAAAGAGCATGGCCCTCGCCCAGGCGAGCGAGGCGCCGGTACTTATGTGAGTCACTGATGAGTCGTCGCATCTGGTAACGCGGATATTGACGTGCCACAGCCGCGCACACTCGAGGTGTACCATTTCCTTGGGGTCAACGAGATCAGGGAAAGGGGCGAGGCGGTGTCCCATATCCAGTCCCACATCTTCGGGAGCATCGATGTCGTGAAGGAGTTTCCTTTCCTAGTGGGTGAAGCTGATCCGACGCCGGCTATTCCAATCGTACGCCTCTGGACCATTGCTGTTTATGTGGATAATTTGCTAATGTTTCTGCGTAGAACCGTAGTGTCGCGCTCGGGCAGACATATGTTGAGCAAATCCTGGCCTCGCACCTTGAGAAACTAGGGTGTGCCGTCGAATACGGGAAGGAGCTGCTGACCTTTGAGCAAAACGAGGAAGGCGTTGTCGTCCATATTTCATCCCAGAACGGCTCTATCGAAGCCGATGAAACCGTTGAAGCTCAGCTCATGATTGGGGCCGATGGTGCTCGGGGTAGGTGCTCATTCTATCCAGTAGATAATCTCCAGCTTACCCTCACCTTAGGTGTTGTGCGGAAGCAACTTGGTCTCACTTTTCTTGGAGAGACCCGCGAGGATACTCGCATCATTACCGCAGACATTCGTATCAAATGTGCTGGGTTATCCCGAGACGTAGGTGTTCGTGCATGCCCGTGCATATCGTCCACTGATTACGACTGGCTACTCTCTAGCACTGGCATCACTTTGGTGACGCTGACGGTGCATCGTAAGCACATTGCAGCTATGTCGTTCTAGTCATCCTAAAGATCTCGTTCATAGGTTATTCTTCCGACCCAGTAACCAGTTCGGAGATAACGACGGCTGGCAACTTATCCTCTCAGGTGACAGGTTTGACATTGAACGACTCGCCGCCGATAAGGAAGCTGTGTACTCGTGTGTCAAAGAGGCGGTGGGAGCACCAATCCAGTTTATGGAGCTTATATGGATTTCTCAATTCCGGTGAGTTGGCATGATTACCGGTGCATGTGTACGTGATACCATTCTCGAAGACCCAACATTCGGATGGTGGACACGTTTGGGAAGCGGAGAGTCCTCGTTGCCGGAGGTGCGCCATTTTTGTGCTCTATTGTGTATGTCAGCTTAACTTCTTTTATATAGATGCTGCGCAGTTGGGTGACCGTTCCATACAACGTTCGAATAGCAGTCAAACTGACCAACCGGCACTATAGCGTGCACAGCCCTACAGGCGGACAGGGAATGAACTCCGGTGTTCAGGATGCTGTACGATGTTTCCCTTCATCTCTCGAGTGCATCTACTGACAGGGCGCGGCGCTAGTTTAATCTTGCGTGGAAAGTTGCCCTTGTGGCGAAAGGCATGGCCCCGCTGTCCCTGCTCGAGTCGTACACTGCGGAGCGTCTTCCTGTCATTGCTCAGATGCTCAATCTTACCACTACACTCCTCGACAAGACATTCGGCGCTAGGCGTGAAAAAGTCGACCAGGCCTACCGGCGGGACAGAATCTTGTTCATGCTTGGCGTCAACTACCGTACGAGCCCGATCGTACTCGACGAGTTCTCCGCCGACATTCCTGCTGTCCCTGCGTACAACACCGAGCGCACCGACGAGCTTGTCGCCGGCGATAGGGCGCCGGACGCACCTGCGTTAGTCGAAGGAGACAACACGGTCAGCCTGTTCAACGACGTCTTCAAGCCGACGCACCACACGGCGTTGGTCTTTGCTGCCGACATTCAGGCAGCAAATCCGGTTCTGAAATCGCTGGCGCAGTACTCCGGCATTTCTAGTGCCGTTATCATTATTCCTGCGACAGCGAAGCCAGTCGGTAATATCGGCTCGGCCAGAATTGTTATCGACAAGGAAGGACACGCGCATACGAATTATCTTGTCAAGGGCGGATCGCGTGTCGTCATCGTGAGGCCCGACGGAGTAGTCGGTGCCATCGTTGCAGGCCAGTCGGGTGTCGAGAAGTACTTCGGGTTGATCCAAGGTCGAAAGTAAACACAATATTCGCGCGAGTTAAAGCACTATTTGTTATCGTGGAAGATATCACGAGCTGAGATGGGTTCTAGGTCTTCCCTGAATGAGTTTTACGGCGTACAGTTTCCCTCAGGCTTGTGTCTTGTGTATGACCCAGTAAACTTAAATCGCGCACAGCAGTCCTTTGGTTCCGAGTTTGTCGAAGAGCGTGACAAAGTCGCCACGAATACCAACTGAGTTGGTGCGTCATGACCGTGCGCGCTTGAAGAGTTGCAAGGAAACTCACAACATTCAATGTTTCAATCCAAGATTGATACTCCAGAGAACACTTGCTGACACACCTGGCTTACGGAGTAGGCGGAGACGTCTGTGTTCGGCAGCATGCGAGATAATATCATTGGCTGGTGGGCCATGATCTTCTTCATCACGGGAATATTAATGAGGTAAGGCAAAGTCCGGTCGGACTCCGATCGCGACCTACGGGTTTGGGTTTTGTACGACATAGCATTGACATACATTGCGGTGAAAGAGATCGATCGAACGATCCTGGCCACTTCATGTGAAGTTCCCCTTCCCCCATTGAACGGTGAGTGTGTGATTGTATAAAGGCATCTATAGGAATGCAAAACTGATCAGTACCCTTTTGACTCACAGTAGTCTTTGCACAATGCCGATCGCAGCTCAGGTTCTTATTGTACGTATTCATCTGCCTGAATGGCTAGCTATTGAAGGTGCTAAATGACTGCAAGGCTGGCGCAGGTCCCACCGGGCTCGTGGCCGCCTTATCCCTCTTACGCAACGGAGTCACGGTACGCGTTGTGGAGAAGGCAGATGGTCCACGTCCCGGGCAACGAGGCGCCGGAAACATGGTAGGCATCTAATTTTATCGCAGCATTGTGAAGGTCGAGGTTGAAAGTTGATGTCGCGTTGAAGCCACGTACCTTGGAAACGTACCACTTCCTTGATGTGCCAGAGCTTATCGAGAAGGGTACCTTGCCTCCGTTAATGCAAGCGCACACATACGGCAGCGCTGATATCTTAGAGGAGTTCTCTATGGTCCCAGTGTTTGATGAAACGCCTGCTTGTCCATTTGTACGTCCAAGATTTTGTGCTTAATCGAAAACTAATGCCATCATCGACACAGAACAACTCTCTTGCTATAGGCCAATGCACCGTAGAACAGACCTTAGCATCGCACGTTGAACAGCTTGGATGCATCATTGAATATGGCAAGGAGCTTCTCTCGTTTAAGCAAGACGAGGGACACGTGGTAGCAGAAATTGCTGCCAAGGATGGAACTATTGAGACGACGGGAGTGGAGTTTCTCATTGGCGCTGATGGAGCTCGTGGTAAGTAAATCTGTTCTCTCATCGAATATATCTGAGCTCATGACCTGTCTATGAGCAGGCGTCGTTCGTAAGCAGCTCGGCCTCACATTCTTAGGTGAAACTCTTGAATGGTTGTGAGAGATTAATGACGTCTGCAATGTCCACAGCCCCACAGGCGGTCAAGGTCTCAACTCCGGCGTCCAAGATGCGGTACGTCAGTCGCTTCCATCCAACCCGCTGAATACTGACCGTCGTTTTCCAGTTCAACCTCGGATGGAAAGTTGCACTTGTTGCAAAGGGCCTTTCCCCGCTCTCCCTCCTCGAAACCTATACAGCCGAGCGTCTTCCCGTCATCGCCCAGATGCTCAACCTCACCACCGACCTACTCAACAAAACTTTCGGCAAAGCACGCAGCACGGTTGAGACCGCATTTCATCGCGGCAGGATCTTGTTCATGTTCGGCGTCAACTATCGCACAAGTCCAATTGTGATCGACGAATTCTCCGCCGGACTTCCTCCCGTGCCAGCGTACGGCGTTGAGCTCAGTGGTGAGCTCGTTGCGGGGGACAGGGCGCCTGATGCTCCCGGCCTGTCCGAAGGAAATTCGACTGTTACCCTATTTGATATCTACAGGGTGACGCACCACACGGTCTTGGTCTTCGCTAATAACACTCAAAGAGCGCATGAGGTTGTCGAGCCACTGTTGTCTTATTCTAACTTGGCTAGGTTCGTTGTCGTTTTGCCATGTGCATCGGTCTCGATGGAGGCTGTCAAGGGGGCGAGAGTCCTCGTTGATAGGGCCGGATTCGCATATTCGCATTATCTGGTCAAAGAGGACACTCGTATTATAATCGTGCGACCTGATGGAGTAGTTGGTGCGATTGTTGGCGGACTATCAGGCACTCATCAATATTTCTGTTTGCTCACGGGCCAGACATGAATTATAGTACTGCAAGTAATTGTATAATAATAGTAAACGACGTTCGTGTCCACAAGCGGCGCACAAGTCGGACGCTGTGGTCCAACTACCCTTCACTTTTTTCGAGGCCCACAATCCACCTCACTCTTACACGCACGGACGGGGAGAGATCAATTCTCGAATGAGATATGGTTCTCAGGCGCATACCCATCTTGGTACGTTGTTCAAGCATATCTGCGATGTTGTATGCGCCCCTTTGATTTGACCTCCCTACTGCTGGGGACAGAACGAGTGCTTCTAGCTTTGAAAGAGGTCGAAGATGCTCGCGGGGTGCGAGCGCATCCAGCATCCGGGCTAGATTCTCCGCGTCAACGCTTACGTTGAGGAACGTGACTTTGGGAAGGACCGAGAATACGTCTTGCCAAGGAATGGCACCGTATGGCCGATTATTTCCGGTACGTACTTTGAGCGTTTGAACAGATAAAAGGGATTTGCCGTAGCAAAAAGATGTGAAGGGGTTCATAACGGGATTATGGCGGCTAGACTCGGGGCCACGACAGGAAACGGCTAGGTGATTTCGACTGCAGCACTGGGCGTAGGGGGAGTTAAACGGGTAAACATTGCAAAGCACCGGTGTGACATTGAATTCAGTACGATGTGTGTGTTCAATAGCCATGGAATAGACTGGTCCCGACTCATCGCAATAGGGGGCTAGAACTCTAGGGGGAAGCAGTGTGATAATACTGGGTGGAACTTGATCAGGATCTTCGAGGAGTATGAGACCCAACGTGATGCGAGCACCTGGGGCGACATTGACGTGCGATAAGAAATGAGTATATTGAACGAATGTCGTCTGATACAAGGCAAACTGCCTGAGATTGGGGAGGTTGATTGTCGCGTCGACATTCCATGATGACGGTGGCGACCGAAAGTTTGATAGGACATTAATGAGCTTGAGATCCTGAAGAGCAGGGTTACTGTCAAGAAGGTCCCAAAGCTGGCTTGGTGTTGGTGCGAGTTTGGTCAGGTGAGAAAGTTCAAGACGAGTCAGTCCATTAAGAGTCAGTGAATTCCACGGCAGAGAAAACGACGACAGGGAGAGTGTACGTAGGTTCGGAGATTTTCGGAACATGCCGTTGGGGAGAGGAGCCCCTAGATCTGCGTCGCAGCACGCAGATAGGATAAAGGTTTCTAGAACGGGACAGTCCAAGGCGATGTTCTCTACAATGCCACGGGACTGTCCCGGGGAACATGTAAGAGTAAAGTGGCGTGTTCGACGGAGCTGGCGGGCTAGTTCGTCGATGAATGGGATGCGTTCTTTTGTCAACGTTCCAATTTGAAAGACCTCAACTGTAAGGGGTGCATCTGCGGCTCTCCGATACATCATATCAGCGAGGGAGATCTTTGAAGAGGAAGATAAGATCGAATATACGCGTGACCAGAGACAGGGAAATGCCAAGGCCATATCCCGCCAGCAGCGGCAGACGTGTGTAACAGTAATGATGTCGCGATTGTCATAGAAGCAAGTCGGTGATAAGTAACTGAAGATTCTGGCAAGGACTTCGGGTAGGATGGAGCAGGCTGGCATGAAGGAATTTCGGCGTGCGCGAAGCCGCTGGACAATGTGCAGATGGGTATGGATATCGTCGTCGAGGGGTGCGGCGTGACGTCGACGCTCTGAGGCATCTGGCCATGCGGTAAGCATTCTACTATAAGCTTACCGGTCAGTACGATTGAAGGCACGTCTTTTAAGCCAAGGGTTATACGCAGAGGACGTACGTCGAATTCTTCGATGGCTTTTTCCTGTGCTTTGCGAGAGTGGGGGTTAATAACAGCGGATGCAAGCGCCTGATCACCAGCAGGCTTTATACAGCTTCGGAGTTCCTAAGCTGAACCTAGAAAAGGAGTCTGAATGTCAAAAAAAGGGGTCGATTTACATATTCGAGTCATTGAGCGCTGACGCCATCATCGGCTTAAAGCCATCGCTGCGGTGAACGAGCGCCAGACAATAGCATGATTCTTAGCATGAGTCCCGACGCTTCTACCACTCTTAGGTCTCAACTCATATAGTCTCCCAACTCTCTTGCATCAAATCTAATGTTACAAGTCTATGTGACACGATATTGCTATTAGTAGACAATGTCCACGAACAACGCAAAGTTATTTCAATCATCTACACACATAAATTTGACTAGTCAAACCCTGATAAGATACCAACGACCATCCACCGCACCCGCACAATCACGGATCGAGACAGCTCAATTCCACGATTGGTGAGAGACTTGAGATGCAGTCCCGCTTTCGCACGTTTTTCCAACGCATCTGCAAGGTTCTCGGCGCCTCCCTGATGCCCCGATGCCGGACAAAGCACAAGCTCTTCCAGTTGTGGAAGAGGTCGGAGACTCTCGCCGGGGGCGAGCGCATCCAACGCTCGCGTTAAATTGTCCTCTTCAACGCTTATATCGAGAAACGTGAGATTAGGAAGCGCCAGGAATACATCGCGCCAAAGGATGGCTCCAAATGGCTGCTCGTCGCCAGTATCTATGGTCAATTTCTGGATGGAGAAAAGAGGACTTCCACTGCACAGTGACGTGAAAGGGCTGTATGCCGAATGGTCACGGTCAGAACCGGAGTAGCGAAAGGTGGCGTCAAGGTGGCTTCGGCAGGTCTGGTACGAGCACTGGGGGCAGTTGGATTCAATGAGTGGTGCTATGTCGATGTCAGTGCGATACCCGTGCTCGATAGACACAGAATAGGCGATCCCCGGGTCATCACGATAAGGGGTGAGGACCCTTGCGGGAAAGAGCATTAGGCTGTTGGGTGATCGGCCTTCAGGGATAGTGATGTCCAACGTAATGTGAGTCTCTGGAGGGACGTTGAGGCGTGACAGAAAGTGGGCATATTGAATGAATGTTATGTCGGACAAAGCAAGATGTCGGAGGTTAGGGAGATTGATTGCCACGTCAGCGTTCCATGATGACGGTGTAAGCCAAAATTTGGCCAACACGTCGACGAGCTCGAGATCTTGAAGGGCAGAATTACCCTCCAGAAGGCCCAAAAGCTCACTCGGAGCTGGAGCGAGCTCTCTCAGATGAGAGAGTTCAAGACAAGTCAGCCCGTTGAGAGCCAACGAATCCCAATGAAGAGCGCAGCCTGAGAGGTGTAGCATTTGTAGCCTCGAAGCATTTCTGAACATGCCGTTTGGGAGGAGGACATCTGAATCTGACCTAGAACCACCCACACAGATCCAAAAGCTTTCTAGAATGGGACAGTCTACGACGAGGTTCTCCACGAAGCCGGGGTACTGCCCTCTCGAGGGCTCCAGTTTGAACACGTGTGTCCGATGAAGCTGGCGGGCTAGCTCCTCGATGAGATGAATGCGTTCATCTGTGTCGTCTGCGTCTACCTCAATGGTAAGGACCGCATCTGCGGCTCTTTCATACATCATCTCAGCGAGAGAAATCTGTGACGAGGAGGATAATCTTGAGTGGATGTGCGACCAAAGATGGGGGAATGCTAAGGCCACATCCCGCCAACAGCGGCAGACGTGCGTTACAGCGATGATGTCATGATTGTCGTGAACGCGGATGGGTACGAGATAGCTGAAGATCTCGGAAAGGACTTCAGGTAACAGGCAACAGGCCGGCATGAGGGTATTGCGGCGCGTGCGAAGTTGTTGGACGATGTGCAGATATGTATTGATATCATCATCCAGTGGGGTAACTTGGACTTGACGCTCTGCAGCGTCTGGCCATGTGGCAAGCATTATGTCAAGTAACTGGTAATAAAGGTGTTTGATGTGAGCATCTCAGCATAATCATGGACATTAAACGTTATACGTACGTCGATACGTTGTCAGTTGAGTCAGTCTACTGAGGGACGTAGGCCCGAAGACGTTGAACGCAAGCACCTGATGGTCTTTGTATACGCACGTATACAGCTGCGGAGCCTCCACGTTGCACCTTCTTGGAAAGCAATCTGGACCTTCTACAAGAGATTGCTGTGTGCCTCATTGTGCGCTAACGTCGACATCGCCTCAAACCCATTGCTGCGGTCGACGAGCGTCAGACCATAACCCAGATTCGCTCTCGTAAGGGCTTTGGCTCCCACGGTCTCCTTTTCCAACTCCCTTGCCCTAAGTTCACGTCCCGGATTCCCGATAACACTCTCACAATCCTCATGCTTATCCAGGTCTGGTCTGGAAGTTACTCACCGTTTTGTGATGTGGAGCTGAACGTTCTGAAAGCTGAACTGAGCTCAAAAGGTGGGTGAGCCGGAGTTGGCCGGGTCTCTCTCTCGGGCAATCACGGAGGACACTCGGAATTATCGGGATTTCGGTAGATGCCCTGATGCGCGCGTCGTCTAGCGCCAACAGGCGCCAACCAGCCCAGGTAACAAGGTGTCAATGATTGACTATGCGATGTCTAGCATCCAGGAAAGCCACCCGCGAGGGCCACTTCATCGGCCTAAACTCACACTGATATCCAAGGCTAGGTTAGTGATGCGTACGTATAAAAGCCGACGTGAATTTAGCTATCATCCAGCGCATTTCCATTCCCAGTCTTGTGCGTTCACTCATCCGTACTAGAATGTCTTCACCTGCGCAAGTGCTTGTTGTACGTGGCCTACCATCAACTCGATCACATCGTTATAGGCACTGAGGCACGTCAAGGTTGGCGCCGGTCCTACTGGGCTTGTCGCTGCTTTGACTCTGCTCCGCAATGGAGTGTCGGTGCGTGTCATTGAGAAAGAGCCCTCCCCTCGCCTTGGTCAGCGTGGGCCAGGCAATATGGTTGGTGCTTCACTGCGCGATTGAAAGGAGCAACACCAATAACATCTCACGTAGCCACGAACACTGGAAGCATACCACTTCCTTGACGTGCCAGAGATCGCGCAAGAGGCCGCTCGGATTCCACCCATGCAGTCGCATGCCTTTGGTAGTTTGTCCGCCTTGAAGGAGTTTCCGATGGCACCTGTGTTTGATCCGACACATGCTATACCAATTGTACGTGTATGGTTCTTTCATATTTGGTCGCTGTCCTGATGGCTTGTTTGTAGATCAATCCTCTGGCAATAGGCCAGTGCAATGTCGAGCGTATCCTACGATCGCACTTGGAGAAACTTGGTTGCTGTGTAGAATATGGCGTGGAGCTACTATCCTTCGAGCAGAACGAGGAACGTGTTCTTGTTCAAACCGCAACGAAAGATGGGACAAGCGAGAAGATCAAGGTTCAGTATATCGTTGGTGCCGATGGCGCACGAGGTAAGCAACCCTTGTTGCTCAGTTTGATTGAAGCTCACATCGCTTCAAAGGCGTCGTTCGCAAGCAACTTGGACTTACCTTCCTTGGCGAGACCCATGATGAGACTCGCATCGTCACTGGTGATATCCGGTTCAAGTGCACGGAACTGTCCAGGGACGTAAGTACTATACATCTGAGGTCTCCACGGGGAACTAAAACCTGCCGATTCCCAGCACTGGCATATCTTTGGAGACGAAGCGGGTAACATGTACGTGGTATAAAGCTTGGTTTCACATTCACATCCGACAGTTGCAATCAGACTTTCGTTCCGTCCCAGCAAAGAGTTCGGGGACAACGACGGCTGGCAACTCTTCGCTTCGGGAGAGAAGTTCGATGTCACGAGTCTGGTCTCTAGCAAGGACGCCCTGTACACCTGCATACGCGAGTCGCTGGCTGCTCCAGTCGACTTCGTGGAGTTGATTTGGGTTGGAGAATTCAGGTGAATACGAGTCTATTGAGTGACACACCCATTTATATTGACCCAATGTAAAGGCCCAACATCAGAATGGCTAATAAGTTCGGAGAGGGCAGGGTCTTTGTTGCTGGAGGTGCGTCAAGGGCACTTTCGTCGATGTTCTTATTGATGCTTAACTCATACGTTTAGACGCCGCTCAGTTAGTCGTTTATGTCAACCCCAAGAATATGCTTCGTACTGATCATTTGTACAGCGTCCATAGCCCCACAGGTGGTCAAGGGCTCAACTCGGGCGTGCAGGATGCTGTAAGTCGTAGTCTTGGTCCCACACAGCTCTTTGCTTACATCACCCTAAGTTTAACCTCGGATGGAAGCTAGCTCTCGTATCCAAGGGCCTCGCTCCACTCTCCTTGCTCGACAGTTACACCGCCGAGCGTCTCCCCGTCATCGCCCAGATGCTTAATATCACCACCGACCTCATGAACAAGACCTTCGGCGAGACGCGCGGCACAGTAGAGAACGCGTTTCATCGGGGCAGAATCTTGTTTATGCTCGGCGTAAACTACCGCACAAGTCCTATCGTGCTCGACGAGTTTTCCGCTGGACTTCCTCCGGTCGCAGCATACGGCGTTGAGCTCACCGATGAGCTCGTTGCGGGAGATAGAGCTCCGGACGCGCCTGGGCTGGTAGAGGGCGAGGCTACTGTTCGGCTCTTCGACATCTACAAGGCGATGCACCACACGGTGCTGGTATTCTCGCTCAACGTCAAATCTGCGCGTGACGTTATCAAGTCAGCTGCGCGCCACTCGGCGCTGGCTCGCACTGTCGTGATTTTGCCCGCCACAACGGCTACAGAGCTCCATGTAGACCATGCCAGGGTTTTGATTGACCGGGATAATTATGCTTACTCTCACTACCTAGTCAAGGACGACACTCGGGTTGTCGTCGTCCGCCCAGACGGCGTGATAGGCGCCATTGTTGCTGGCTCACCCGGAGTCGACGCATACTTTACTCTGATTCAGGGTATTCAAAGAAGTTGATACCTTAAACGCATTGGATCCAGAAGCTCCATGACATTGCTTCGGCGTGAAACAAACATCGCCACTAGCTACGGGCATAGTATATACATGTTGTATAAAAGTCTTTTATCCGCATGATTACCTTCTTATCACTTCTTCAGATCATCCTCACGTTCAGTTAGGATCCGTTTCACCGATTTAAAAGTCCACCTCAGCCTGACTAGCTCCCGGTCCGTGAAGTAGATCCGCGCTAAACTCAAATATAAGAGGCGTTGTCCTGCACGCACACGTCGTTCAAAGAGATCTACGAGGCCATCAATATGGATATCGAGATCACCATCTCTGACAGACGTTGTTACGATCTGTTTATTTCACTCTTCGTATCTGGACATCTACTAGTATCAGCAACTGGACACTTCTAGTAGATACGATTTCATTTTATCCTTTTCCTTGTAATATCTTGGATTCCTTACGAATCCTACCGGCTTGATTACGAACCACAAGTCCTTATGACTTGTTTTCTTTATCAGCGCATTGTATTAGGATTAGCAATAATATGAATCCTGCTGATTCATATTACTTCTTTCTCAGTCAGCGACTGACTGATTTCTTAGCAATTACTGTAAGTTCTTATGAATCACAGTGTCATTGTGACTTGGTAAGCAACTAGTAGAAAGGTATATAAACTCGCATGTACGAGGCCCAAACGCCTCAGACTAGTTCTACCTCTATTACTACAGACAATCGTTCTCACTCTAAGATCGTAGTCGCGGACTACCGATAGTAAGATAATACGAAAGATAAGATAGTAAACCTAAGAGATCAGTTCTCTTCG